TAGCATTAGTCTTGAACTGTAAATAGCTGTGCATATGGTTATCTATGTTCAATGAAAATCTCCCTTAAAGACTAGGAGGATATTTATGCCAATAAAATGGAGTATATTTGTAATTGCTTCCATGAAGGTGCCTGTCATACAGAAATACGTACTCAATTTCATGCAACCAAGATAGCTCTTTTGGTATTGATTGAATTATTCACAGAGCAAGAGGTGTAACTACAGCTACAGGAAAACTGTGCAGCAAATTAAAACCCTTTAAATTTGATAGAGAAAATAAAAGAACCAGAAGAAATCCTCATTTAAAAATTCTTAGACTAAATAAGCCACTAATTTTCGATAGTGAGAGCATATACCACTAGAACAAAGGGCCGTGCTGGCTCCCATGTCTCATGAGTGATTTCTTGGCTTAAGTTAAATACAAGTTATTTAACTTGGCTTATTTACAAGAAATTTGGAGAAATTTAGAGGATTTCTAGAAATTCTTAGTTTCCCTGAACTTAAAATTTTTATTAATGAATCAGTCTTCACAGGGTTAGTGATTGAAGTGCTAGTGCCCAAAGTGCTGGTACTTAGTAAAGATAACATATTCAGGTACCTGTGAAAGGAATGTGTCAAATTGCTCATACATAATTAGTAATAAAATTGTGCCTTTTCAATTTCAGAAGTTTTAAAATATTATTTGCTTTTCACTGATAATAATGCTAGTGATTTTAAAGTTTAGGAAAATACTGTTGTATCTAGATAGCATCTATGCTGCTGCTGAATTTGCATTTTTGTTCTTTTTTTGGCAGTCTTGTTAAACATGGGGAAGTGTGCTTGGATGCAGATGAATGTCCATGTTCATGGAAAGGAAAGGAATATTTTCCAGGGGACAAAGTAATTTCTTCCTGTCATACCTGGTAAGCAGAGGTCTCTTTAAGTGCTTATTTCATTTTAGTTATTTATTTGTAGATCGATTTTTCCTTCATGTGTTTTAATCATAAATTTCACAGCAGATTATGGTAAAACATCTACTTTGATTTTGTATTTACATTTCTTCAAAGAGGTATTAAAATGACATTGGCTATGGGTTTGTTGTTTCAAAGAGCTTTTAACATAACAAAATAATAGCTATTTGGGATATTCTTATCCTTTAAAAAAAGCTTGATTTAGAAAAAAGTTTGGGGTTTTTTGTTGTCAAGGTCATCTAAACTAATATTCAATGGCTAGTGTTCCTAAAGTAGAGGAAAAGTACTTATATAACACCTTAGTGACACTTGTTAGAGCTTCTTATTTATTCATTTTCACATTTAGCATTGAATCTGAGCAGTCTAACAACCAAAATATAACCCTGTAGCCATAAGTATACACCCACTACAATGATAATTTAAGGAGAGTACTGAGCAACATCATGTACTGAGCATGGTAGCAGATAAATTGATTGCTAATTCTGCATATGTGGATAACTGATGAATCAATTGGCTTTAAAAGGAGGTGTTCCAATAGGCAAGGTTTGATAGGATCACTCAAATACATGCAAAAACCTATTCCTTTTACTATCCAGTGTTGTAAATGCAGCATACAGGTACAGCTATGTTACCCTGTGAAGTTTTCTTGAGCACTCAGTAGAATGTGTTACATTACCATTTTAATAAGCTTTACAAAAGTGTGACAATATTCCACATCTGCATGATACCGAAACAAACTTTTTTCTTGATGGTCCCCATCTGTTTTCTTCTCTGACCACAGCTGAACCTTGCAAGCTGGCACTGAGCAGTGCTATTTGTCTTAGTAGAGCCCTAGAAAAATCAGTTGTCAAGCGTGGAGATACTGAGGTAGTGGTGTAGCCTCCAGATTCTCTGCAGAGCAGTTCCTTCCTTTTGTCCCCTTCTTGTAGCTCACCAGGAACATGTAACTGGGGTCACCTGGTGAACTGCTGCTCCTGGCCTGCACAGCTTAGTGTAACCTGGCACAGTGAAGGCTTCTCCAGTCAGCACTAGTCACTGCCTTGTCTGGATGTCGTTGCCCCCTCCAGCCTTGTGCTGACTGCCTACCTCTGCCTCTCGTCAGGTCCTCAGTATCTGCTCTAGAAGAGATTTGTAGCCCTTTGGTCGACTGGTGAAGCGACTTACAAGCCATCTCCACTGGGCAGGCAGGTAAAGCGACCGGGTTATTCACCCCCTTATTTCCAAAGGCCTCTCCATTTGGACCTGGTGTGGGATTGCTTGCATCAGAAAGAGTTTATTAGATCCCATTTAATCTGTATGAGACTTCACCAAAGGCAGCTGCAGTGCAGGCAGAAAGACACTGGATATTTTGCTTTCTCTCTTTTTTTTTTTTTCCTCAGGCCAGGCTCATTAATTCACGTACAGATCTTTAAGGCTGTCATGGTTTTTCTAGTCTTCCATGTCCAGAAGCAAAGACAGATTAAGTGATAATAGCTTTTTGGCAATCAGTTGTCTGCTGACAGATGGGAGTCTGCAACAAGCTCTGCTTCATACAAAACATATGAAGTCTTTGAGTCTGCTGTATGTGTATGCAGGGGTGTATCTGATATGTTAAAGGAAATGTTCAAAGCATGAGAATACTTCCGTGCAAACAAACCCACTTAGGCACTCATAGCAGTTATAATTTGGTGTTTTTTAGTGCAGAGAATCAGTGTATGTTGATGTTAAATATAATCTTACTTACATAAGATGTAGTATTAAAAACGACTATTAGTCTGATTTATCTATTGAACAGTAAAATGGCAAAAAAATAATTTCCTAAGTTGGCAAAACTACCAGTGAAGTGCCAGGAACTTTCAACTCAAGCTCTGGGATCTTACTGAACTGTGGTTCTAGGTTTTCTGATTTTTGGTTTTTGTGCAAGTGCCTGAAATTTTTAGCATGTGCTGTCAAGGTTCTAACACAAAGGGTTCTGATGCTGAGGGTATGACAGCGTTTTGGTGCTGTGCTGTGCAAGGTAAGATGGGTGGTGCAGTGCTGGTTTGCTGTCATATGTTGAGACCATTGAGCAACTGCTGGTTATTGTCCATGGGCTGCTGAATTGGGCCTTCTGTTCTTAAACAAATACTTCTTGGAAATATGTTTTTTTAAAAAGCTCGTTGAAGTTTGGAAGATGCTGATAGTTCTGCTTTTCCGAGTAGGGCTCTCTAGATTCTGATAACTAAATGTTAGTTCACTTAGTATGAAACAAGCCTGGTGCAGAGGACTTTGAAGACATTGTGTACCTCTTAATCCCTCCCTTCTGACTGTAAACATGTTAAGACTCCTGAAAAAAGGAAAGTATGAAAAGGAGCTCCCTACTCTTAACATATTCAGAAAAGTTTCTGCGTGAGTCCTTAACAGATCGGCATGTGGAGGAGGATTTGAATAAGCCAAGAGTAAAATTAAAATCTAATGTCTCACAGAAAACATGAGAAGCAGCACTTAGTCTTTCAGTCCAAATATAATTCCTTCCATCTGCCCCTCTCTTGATCACCTTGATTAGGTTCCTGCCTTAGGTGCTGCCTTAAGGTGACTAGGGTTAGCTGGGCGAACCTTGCTACTGTCTCCTTGTGCTTTGGTACAGCAAACACTTCATATATCATACTTTTAACTTCTTTTAGCAATGTGCTTAGTGTATTTATATATGTACCTATACAAAACACAAGTGCTGGTGCCAAATCAATGACGGGATAAGCAGAGTCTTCAAAAATCTGGACAAAGATTCCATGTTGGTGCAAGTTACCTGATAAGGGAACAGGAGGAAGACGATATTAGTATTTGGAGCTGCCTAGATTTTCTAGATATTTGCTGCTCTTTTGAAAACAGTGGTGTTCTGACCCTGTGATAGCAATATAAACAGAAAAGGAAAAATTATAATGACAAAAAGTTATACTGAGAAAAAACTTCATATTGCTTGGTGCTTCAGTATGAGATGCCAAATGTTAGCAATTTATCCATTATTTCCGTAAGTCAGATTAATACATTAGGTGTAAAATATGAAATATTCATTTAATGAGGAAATTAAAAATCAATTCTTTTTGAAAAGTAAACTTAGGTACCATAATTACACCACATGCTGTATTTAGTTTAACCTGTATTTATAAATATACCTGTAGTAAAGCTGTATCGAGGCACCAGCTCTGCTGTCTTTATTGAGAGTTCTTTAAGTATCCAGTTCATTTAAAAACATAAAAATAACATTTTAAAGATTACTTGTGGATACAGGAAATAAAATTATATCCACTATTTATAAAACTTAAGTAGTTTCTGAAAATGTAATTTAGATTGCAAGAGGGTGATGCAGAAAGAGGTATAATATCCAATGCTGCAAAGCCTCTTACAAAGCAAAGGGAATTCAGGAAAGTCTGAACAATCACTTATATGTGTGATGAAAGCCCTTTGATGCTTAAGATGACCATAGACAGAACTTGAACTGTTCTGGAAGCCCCTAAGATCTTAGGCTAGGGTTTGGGGGTGACAATATGTAGACATCAGGAAAAAAAATAAATCCAACAGCCCAAAACATGGTTCTTTCAAAGAATCTAAGCAACAAAATAATGCTACTGAAATGTTTCCTCTGTAATTCCGTGAAATTCTCATTCAAGCAGAGAATGCATAAAGACTGGAGTAAGAGGACATGTTAGTTTTTGATTCTAAGATTCAACTTGTACAGAAAAAACGTTCAGTGAAAAACTGAAAAAGAAAGCTTTGTCCTTGTGGCATGTTATTGATGTGCCAATAAATTGTATTACTTTGGATGATATTTTTTTTTCTTGTTTTGATGTCTGTATTTTCTGGAGCCTATAAATTCTAGCAGAATAAGAAGCATAGACAGTATGAGTTCAATATGTACATTTTTTTTCCAGAGAATCAATTTATGTATGCTGCTTTTGGGCAACATTTCAAAATGCTTCTGTCACACTCATCACACTTGCATAGCTTTTATTTTTTTGCTTCTCAGTGTAATAGCTGTAATAATTTTTCTGGGCTTGCAGCTGATATTACCATTATTGGTCATACATTTTTCAGCATTTGCCAGCACGGATCATTTCAGTGCACCTTCCATCCTTGCCCATCAATGTGTACTGCATATGGGGACCGGCATTACAGAACGTTTGATGGACTAACTTTTGACTTTGTTGGAACCTGTAAGGTTTACCTAGTTAAGGTGAGATTTTTTTTTTTTTTTGTAAAGCCTCTCTAAAACTGGATTTAAAACTATCTCTTAAATCTACCATTCTACTTATTTCCTATCTGTACAGTCTGTTGAGTCCTACATACTATTTTTTCATTTCTGATGTTGTCTAGAATTTGAATCATACATAGTATAATAAATATACACTGAGGTTTCTGCTAATCGGACTTTGTATATATACATATTTATATTAGTATATTTAAAAGTCGTCATTCCTTTTTTTTTTTTTTCAGGGTACTTCTTCAACCAGTCTTTCTGTTATTATAGAGAATATTGACTGCTTTAGTACTGGAATCATTTGCAGAAAAAACATTTTCATTAATGTTGGAAAATCTTTTTTAGTATTTGATGATGAGACAGGAAATCCAGTAAGTTTCAGCTTTTACCACTGATCAAAAAGTAGTGTATGGGTGTTTCTTCCTTTCATTACCAAAAACTTACTGTGCCACTTTAGTAGCAAAGGTGTAAATATCTTTACTGTGAATGCTGATCATATCTGTATTGTTCAATGGAAATATTAAACAAAATCTTGTGTGTATTTGACAAAAGTGTTAGTTGAGATATTGTAGCTCTTTGTTTAGACTTGATTCCTGTTTAATATCTTAGGAAAAATCCAGATGTTTTGAAGTCAGTGGGAATTTTAAGTCCACTATAACTAAGAGTTTAGTCTGCTCTGGAACATATAAGAGGAATATTTCTATACAGTTAAAAAAAACCCAAATTACAGCCCCTGGTATACTCTATAGCCTGAATGTAATTTTTATTTTGGCCAAACTGCAAATTCTATTGCTGTAAGCATTTAGTATTTCTAGTACTTTTAGTATAAATGGTACTATTTACAATTGATAGATTGACTATTTAAAGGAAGTTGAATCTCTCTGTTTGAGATACTGTGTAGTTAAACCAGACATCTTAGTCCATGCTACAAATAAATTGGAATCTGATTGTTATTGGATGAAGAGAAGAAAGCTTTATGTAAATAAGATTGTAATCTATGGACATATTTGGAGAGTTCCTTATTTCAGGACGTTGTTCCATGCGTCTTTATTACCTATCCATAGTAGAAAAAAAGGCAGGTGGCTGAGACTGATTAGGTATAGTTGAGGGGAAAATCATGATCAGGAACCTTAAAACTACTCTTATACCTCCCAGATGAACCATTAACATTTTAACCTTCACTCCAATTGCCGTTACCCATCCTGTAAATTTGATATTCAACTTTTAAAATAGGAAAGTCATAAAAATACAGTGCGGTTCACAAAGTCCAGACCCCTTTTGCTTGAGCATTTGTCCCTCTGTCTGCTTTTGGACTTACATCTGAGAACCATGTAGTTCATTTTATTTAGGCATTTCATTTCCTGTGAAGTGAATGAAGACATTGCTTCCATTATAAGCTCCCTTGTTTTATTTTGAACAGAGCTTATCTAGTTACATAGACCACGTACAAAAAATGCAGTTATGGAAAGCTGGATTTTTCACTGTTGTTCATTTTCCTGATGAACATATCACCATTCTTTGGGATCAGAGAACAACAGTTCATGTCCAGATGGGTCATCAGTGGCAGGTAGGTGAAAGTCAATGTTCTTATTGCCATTTCTTTGAGGTGTTTATGTAAATCTCATTAAATAAGATATATCATTATACAGAGAATAGGCAATGTGTCAGAAATCAAGGAGAGAAACATTCAAACTACCTTGTCAATTACAATATTTATTCTCATTGTTGTTTTTTTTTAGTTACTCTTTACTGTGTAGCTGCTGTAACAACAGAAACAAATATCTTTGGGGAAAAATTCTCCTTCAGTACTTCAGTTCCTTACATGACTGGAGTAGGTGTTATTTTGCTGAAGCAAAAGAAAAGCACGTAACTGGCTAACAGCTCACTTCTCTGAACAAAAAATCAGCTCCTTTCTCAAAGGCTTGGGGATACATAATTGAAAGGGAATAATACTGGCATTGTCAAAATAAAATATTCTCCATAGCTTTATTATCACGAAAAACTGAATTGTTTTGGGTAAAATTTAGCTAAAGAAGGATCAAACCCTGACAAATGTATAATTAAGTAACTGAAAACAAAAGTTTTGAAAGTTGTTATGGGTGGTAGCATTTTGTCACGTGAAAATGTTTTTATATATGTGTATATATATATGTGTGTGTATTTTTTTTTTCCCCCAGGGTGAATTGACTGGATTATGTGGAAATTTTGATTTGAAGACAGTAAACGAATTGAGGACTCCAGATAATTTTGAATTAACAAACTCACAAGAGTTTGGAAACAGCTGGACAGCTGTAGAGGTACATAGTAAATAGAATGTGTTTGCTTGTAGATTTTTTGCTGTTATGTCATATAATTTATCTAGAATGAAATCAGAAATTCATTCCTGAAAGTATTAGTCAGGCAGCAATGCAAATGACAATATCAGGGGTTCTTACAGATGCCATAATCTGTTAAGGAAAAGAAAATAATTACCTTTTTTTGCCTTCACAGTGCAATAGTGTACAGAAAAATGCTGTACAATATTCTGAACATTTTTTAAGACATTTGAACAGTAAAGTAGTAATTTTTTTACTTAATAGAGGAGTTGTGGGTTCACTTTAGACTGTGTTGTCAGTTTAGCTGATCTTTCATAGCTGGGAAATATTTAACTGTGCAGACCTAACAATGGAAAGAAAAAAATTCTTTCCCTACACTGTAAAGTTAAAAACTGAACTTTTTTTTTTTTACGTCACATGTCTAGTGGTGTTCACAGAAATGTCCCTTCCTAGTAGTTAGAGTAAAAATATCTGATTTCTGGCTCTTCTAATGTGCATTGTCCAAGTCACCCTTGTTATTTATGTAAGTGAGACCGTTCAGGTGTAAGGACTGCAGGTTGGGACTGCCTGGCAGCTCTGCTTAGACCTACATGTACATGTGTGTTTTTCTGCTGCCTTCAGATAAATAAAACGATTTTTTCAGCTTGTGTAATTTTCCTTTTCTTCAGATTAGCATCACCTTTTAATTGTATATCTTTGTCCTGCTTTAGTTTCATAAGCAATACATTTGTTCCATGGTTTACATCTCTTAAAAAAAAAAAGCCATAGAACTATGCTTTGCAAGTTCAAACACAAAGTGGTTACGAAAAACGTTTCTCACCTTAATTTTGCTTTCTGGTTAAGTGTGTCGACAGCTCTGACATTCGAAATCCATGCAGTTTGAATCCCCTTAGAGAGCCATTTGCCAAGAAGGAATGTGGAATACTATTAAGTGAAGCATTTGAAGCTTGCCATCCAGTGGTGAGTTGTGGTCATGTATAGAAACAAGTGAAGGTGAATATATCAGTAGAGAAAAATGTTACTTTTAAACTTGAAGCACTTCAAATCTTCCTCTTGTCTCCCATTTCATAGTAATTTTGACTAGCAGAAGAGAACACAAAGAAGGTCTAACCCATACCTGTTCTGATTCTAAAATGTGAATGTTAAACTGGACTGTCTACACTTAGCTGATGTAGGCAGGAAGTGACTTTGGCACCAGTTTAGTCTTCTACAATATGGGTAGTCCTAGTAGTCTCCTTTGTAATTAATGCAGACAAAAATACACCCATTTTGAGGTGGTTTTTTTTTTTTAATTACAAGCATTATTTTCCTTATTTCCCTCAGATGTATTATATAGCACACACATTTTTCACACATATGTAAATAAATTTACATTTAGGTAGGCAATATCAGATGTGAAGAACTCACTCCTAGAAAAAAAAAAAGGGCATGTGTCTTCTCACTCAGGCAACCACCTAAGGCAGTAAATGAGCCACTCAACATGTTGTGGGGGTCAGTCATCTCAGGTTCAGTTGGAGCATGGAGGAGAAGCTCTTTTCCAGTGGTAGGTCTTACATGGAAAATTACACATCCCAAGATGTTCAGGTATTGAGACTGTGTGCATGGCTTAAAAGCTTGAAAATACTGTAAGGGCAAAATGACAAATTCTCTTGTGAAATTGTCTGATAATATGAAGAGAATGAACCACTCTCACATGAGTTGTCCATCTACTGTATTATTTCTTACATTTTATGTGTATCTAACTTTCTCAACGCTTCTGAGATTTATTGATTTGTGATCAGCTTAGAAAATCTGTTATTTTGTACGTTTCTCTGTAGTTTGTTAGGGCTTAAATATTAAAAACCATACAAAACACAAGCTCACATCAACATCTTAGCATGCCTGTTCTTAATGGGTTATTGATTTAATTCTGTTATTAAGTGCTGGACAGGATGATGTGTTCTAATAAACCTTTTTTCTTGTCTTTCAGGAAGCACTTAAAGTAAAATGTTTATTGCTTCCAAGTTTGATATATTAACTTCTGAAAGAGTCATAGCTTTGTATTAAGGTGTTGGTTGGCAGTGTCTATATGAGTATTTTTGATAAGTGATATTTTCGTTTCCAGATTGACGTCACCTGGTTTTATTCCAACTGCTTGACAGATACGTGTGGTTGTAACCAAGGAGGTGACTGTGAGTGTTTCTGTACAAGTGTATCAGCATATGCCCATCAGTGCTGCCAGCACGGAGTTGCAGTGGACTGGAGGTCCCCTAGAGTGTGTCGTAAGTTTACTTAAACCAGCACTGCCCATGGCTGCTACTGCCTGCATGTGTGAGAGACAGACCTGAAAAATCAATCACATCAGAGTACCTGGGCCATGAATTGAATGACTAAGCCACACTGGTAGGAAGATGAGTTGGTGCCTCTCACTCTGATTTCTTTTAGGTGGATTATGTTCTTCTCACTGTATTTGTGAGCGGTACTTTTCTATTTTTAATTCTTTGCCCTATGATGTGAAAGGAAAAGTAATGGAAAGTCTATATTAGGGTACAGCATGCATCCCCCAAACCAAAGGGACAAAGTTAACAGCTCAAGCGATTTCTGTTTTCAGCAGGACTTTACTTCTCATTAAGGTCTAGGAAACACAGCTGCCTTACTAGAGCCCCCCAGATCAAGTGTGAAATATAAAGGTCTTCTGAAGAAAACCAGCAGGTTTTAAGCATTACCTTAGTATCCTTATCCAACAATGCTTAGAAGTTGTAAAACAATCTAAGGCCTTTATCTGTATAGTGGAAATGCCTAATATGAGACAGTCATTTCCCCAAAGATGTGATAAAAAAGGGCAGGATATAAAGAATGGGAGGAAACAAGCAGTTTTCTAACTTTGCAGTTGCACAGAGAGAGTATGTAGCTTGCTCAGAGTCGCACAGCAAATTGGCCACAGAGTGAACGGATTACTCTTAAATTTTGATAGAAAAGGTTTGTGTGTTTCAGTGAGAGCATGGAAAAACAACGCAGCTCAGTCTTAGCCACTAGAGGTCACAAAAAGACAACTGTATGTATGTGAGCTTAGTATTTCCTGCTAGGAAGCAATGCTTTCTTTAAATCAGTGTAGTTTAAATTAGTATTTTACCTAAAGCAATGAAGTAAATATTTGGCAGTAATTTTTTAATAAATGTTTGTGTATGATCTAATTTGGTCAAGCTTTTAGCTTACATCTTAATTGTAAAGGGTAATAGAAAACCAGTTTATCTGCAGAATGCCTGTTAACTGCGTTTATTTTCTTTTTTTTAGCATATGATTGTGAATATTTCAACAAAGGTAAGTCCTAAAGGAGTTGATAAAATGTCACTGGGATCTTTGGTTTCTTTATATAAACCTTAGAACTTCGTATAAAAACAATAGCAAATTATTTTTGTGAAATAATAATGAATGTTTTATTTGTGAATGTTTTATTTCTTATGTAGCTGAGATTCTGTTTTACTGGTTTATTTTTCTTTTTCAAAGGCTTTTAGTGTCATAATATTTTTTTTATTTTTAGACCTTTCCCAGGAGCATATGTTTAGCTAATTTTTCTTTACAGTGATGGACCATGATTAAACAACTAAATCATTAAGTAATTAATAGACTATTCAACTAAATAGTACTAGGGGCACTACTTGCTTAAGACATAATGTGGTTCAAAGCTAATCCCCAGTGGGTATGTTAAATCACTGATGGTCTCCTGTGCAGCCTCCAGAGGGAGGTAGCTGTTAAGGTATGACAACTTTTTGTCTCCAAATGGGGAATAACTCTCAATTTAGGTATGTCTGACCTATCCTTAAGTTCCTAAGCAGCAAGCATTGCTGCTGCATAGAGTGGCTCTCAGTGAGGGGTGCAAAATTTGTACAAGGTGCTGGAGGAAACCTTGAATCCGCACTGGCTGCTGTAATGCCCTGTTAGCACTGGAATCCATCTTCAGACTATTTTAAAGTTACATTGCCAGTGTCTGCATAGTTAGACGTGGCATGCAAGCCAGCCTGATGTGAGGAATGGTCAGGACTTCTGCTATTTATTCTATAACTCTTTTTATCAAGCTCATGTGGAAGCTTATCTATCCACATGGTTTGTGGTATTTTGGTCTTCTTTTAGACTCAATATTGCAGCAGCTCACCCCCAGAAACATCTCAGAGAGGGACCAAGTTTAAATTAGAAGAGACCTGTGCAGTTTTCCAGGCCCAAACAATATGGCCAAGAAATCTGCATTTTCTAGTGCACTGACTGCTGAAAAGATTTTCCATGGGGTCAGATTGCTAATGCATGGGAATTTCATCTAGATCACTATCTAAGCCTCTAAATTAATTTAACTAAAGAAGAGTTGAACATAAGAGGTGATTGAAGTTTTACACTTCCTGTTTGGTTTGGGTTTTTTGTTTTGTTTTATAAATGAAATACATCTAGTCTGATACTAGATGATCTTAGTGGAGTTTTAACATTGAAAGTACAGTGCCTCTAACACCTGTGGTAATCATCAAGCTAGATGATAACACATACTTTTAAGGTGTGTTATTAGTTTTATTTGTTACTGAACTCTCACTCATAGAAATTAGTTGAAAGAGTGGAGAGTTTGTGCATGTGACCAACCTTGTGATAAGCATGTTTATCATATACTTCTTACTTTGTATCTTGTTTGCTAATCCAACTCATCAGTATTCAATGTATGATGTTTCAGAGCTGCCAGTGGCGGAAAAAACAAATCATCTCCATGCTGAAGATTTACTTGTCTACCTCACTTATACCATTACCTAGAATTACTTAGTTTTGGAGAGAGGAAGGTTAAGGCACCATCTTAGACCAGAGAGATGTTTTGTCTGTGTAACTTTGTCATGAATCCATATTGACATAGTTCCAGTCCTACTAGGAAGCAGAACCTATTGTCTTTGGAAAGGGAAAATTCTCAGCTAGTGGCTGTGGTCACTCAGGTTTTGGATGGGCCTGAGTTATGAGATTAAAGATATAATAATATATCTAGAACACTGGATGTTTTAAGTAATAATTTTAAAAATGTTTTTCAACTCCCTGTGCTGAAGGTGACGAGGTATCATTGTACATGTTTAGGTGAGCATGGACTTCTGTCCTAACTGCTTACTTTTTTAAAGCTTTAGAATCTAAAACTCTGGTTGTAGTGCAACCTCCTTAGGATTTCAAAATTCTTAATAAATTTTAAGATTAGTGAAAACCAGAATATGAAGGCAGGCTGCAAATTGCAGTCCAAGCTTGTAACCTCTTTGAACAGATTTTAAAGGTCAATGGTAGTTGTTGTCAATGGTAGAAGTTCTGGGAGATGTATGGTTACCTGGCTTGTGAGTAAAATTGTAATGAGGTGAATTGCTAAAGTGTGGTCTAAAATGCCTGATTTTAACAGAGAACTTTACAAAAACAGTTTCAAACATTTAAAAATAAACTTTAAAATATTTTTCTGCAGTGAACTAAATGAGAAGGTGTGACATTTTAAGATTTGTGAAGTCATAACTTTGCATGCTTATGACATTTTTTACTTGTAGGTAAAATATGACCATTCCTTTGCTTATGATGCCAATTTCTTCCTGTCTTGCTTCCCAGAGGTTATGTTTATATCTCCACTGTTTGATACTTGATGACAACAAACTTTTATTCCCTGCCAAATGGCTCACACATTAGACACTAATAAAGTAGATTTTCAAGAATAGTAAGAAGTGTATAATCAGTTTGACTATGCAAATAAACAATTTAGAGAGATCCTAGGGTGGTCTATAGACATACTGCTTACTTCTAAGTCAAATAATGGAGGGGTCATCTAACTTTAATAAAGTAACTATGAAACCAAAGCAGATGAGAGGGACAAAAAAGAAAACCTAATCATGAGTCTTGAAAATTGAAGGTAGGTATTCTTGACAGTTTTCAGAACAGGTATTTTCTAAGAGAGTTTGACTTTATTTTGATTGTCATTATAGTTTAGTCCATGACACCTAGAGCTATTTTCAGAGTGGTGAGATGTGTTTTTCATTATGTGCTCTGTCCTAATGTTTAGAGCTCAAGCATCTGTGACACTTGACATGAAAGATAATTGTGGTTTTTCTCTCAACAGCTCTGGGAAAGGGCCCATACAAGCTGGTCAGCTATTTGGATGGAAAATTTCTGATGGCAGTGAAATCGATGGATGGTGTTGTTTTCCCGGTGAGAGAAGACGATACTCTTCCTGGACATGTAGTGAGCTTTATGATGACTTCAGGACTTTATAAACCCAAAGCACATGGTAAAGTCACAGTAACCTAGCATCTTAATAAGACGGAGCAAATTCTGCCCTTGAATATGAACTTATGTTTAAGAATAGACCTGGGTCAAAAAAATCTTTTCTTTGTCTGCCAGCTGAATGTGCACTCAATGTCTGCCAAAATTTTCATTGGGTTGGTTTTAGTTGGATGATCACAGCTTTGTAAACAGATACCTTTAGCTGAAAAGCAACAGCCTCCCCCAACCTTCAGAAGCTCCAAACTGGTATTGTAGCCCAGTGCTCCAGATATGTGGAGCACTTGGTAAAGTGCTCCCTTTACCTTTCTTCTGCCAAAACTGGGACATGGGAAAGAACAGGAGAGAAATGTTGCAAGAAAAGTGCTCCCTTCACTCGCTTTGCCACCATTGCTCATTGTCTGCCTGCTTGTACAGAGATGCCCACTGGCACTAACCTGTGATTTGTAAGGCTGAGTACTACAAATTGGTCTCCTTCAGGTCCTGGCTTAGATTTCCCCTAAGGGAGCTTGGTGCTTATTCAGCAGACAAAAGGTGTCTTGCACACCTTCAGACAGGTGGAGAAAACTTAGAAGAGTATATTCAGCATTTGTGACATTAATTAAATGCTAGAGTTGTCTGCATGCACAGCTTTAATGCCCACAGAGCACTTGAGTTTCAGTAGAGTTTTACTGCCCAGAGTCCCCTGATCAGCTCTTTGGACAGCCTGAAGGTGGCTGTCTTTGTGTAAGCAAAGGAGGGATATGGGTCAGTTGAAAAAATGACAAGCATTTGATTACTAATACTGCTGTCTGTAGAACTGACACAAGAGCTCATGTAACAGAATATCTAGGGCCAGATTTCTTTTATTAGTCATAGTTTTGAGGCACTTAAACATTGCATTCAATTTTTGTTTGGAAAGGGAAGGTCAGTCCTACTGCTCTATTCCCATATAAAAATCTTCTGCTCAAAATTTAACCTGGCAAATAGAATTTGCGCTTTATAGTCCAATTTGAACAAATGGAATTTCATAGTTTGGTCATGGAGGAGTTTGTATGATCAATATGATTCATAGAAAATTCAAGTCAATATTATGCATATATCAGAAAAATGCAGGTCTTTTATCAGTTTCAGGCCATTTGTGGACAATGGAGAGTTTTGGGCATTGATGGACTGACTGGCTACATAGCAGGTGTTAAAAATCACTCTGACTGTCCATTGTTACTTAATTAATAGCTTCTTGCTACAGGCAAATAATAAAAAGACGTTCACTAGTACTGCTAGGTTTTTCAGATTAATTGAAGTTCAAATGGTCAGAAAACAAGGTGATCTTCCAGAAATGTTATACCAGAATGTGATAATGTATCCTTTTAATAGAAATATTTGTTTTCTATGCTTTCTTTTTTTCTTTTTTTTTTTTTTTGAGTAATGCTGCCCAGTCCTAGAGTGTTAATTGATTTTACAGTAGTTTAATGACTGTTTTCAAGAGAATAGCAGAGTTTACAGCAAAATAGAATGAAGTAATTCTGTGAGCAACAGATGCCTGTAACAGGCTCAAAGTCTGCTGCTCTGCAGTTGGTTGTACAGAGGCTTCTTGAAATCAGCAGTGCTGATTGCAGGGTAAGGTATCATGAGGGGACATTTGCCAGAAAACAGACTTTGCTGTAACATTTTTAGAGGAAGGGGCAGGGAGATGAATGCAAAATATGTTTTCATAATTTGTTTTTAATGAAACGCTGAGCTCTTAAGCTATAAATTCCTGATGGCAAATGTTACTTGTAAAGCTAGTCAAATGAAGTTTAAATTTTTATTAAATAAATGGTTTAGCAAAGACTGTAAATTAAGTTCTGCTTGACTGCAGGGCTATATTCCTTTATCCTGGGGTGAGCAAATGTCTTAATCTCCTTGTATTCCTCTTGAAATCTGTAGAGTATTTAGAAAAGTAAATACCCTTCACAGTCTAGCACTCTGTAGTGTATTTGCTTACAAGATTCAGGCTATTTTCACTGGAAAGGCCTAAGTCAGTTTTCATTCCTCACACTACTAATATCAGTAGTGGTACATCAGAATGAGCTTACTTCATTATACACATATAAGCAAGTAAATGAGTTCTGTGTATATTATTTTGTTTTTCAGATTCCAACTTGATTTCATTTGAAACAGCTGAGAGACCAAACTATTTTCTTCAGTTGGTCTCCAATAATACTCTTGTTCTTTCCAAATGGAAAAAAACTGAAGAGTTTCACAACAGGTCTACATTTATCATTCACAAGAATACATGGCTTTCAGGATACAGTTCCTTTGAGTCATTTGCAAAACCAGGATATTTCATCCACATTTCAGCCTCTTCAGTTGAGCTTTTGAAGTACCATCATTCAGAGGAATTCAGACTGTCAACCCTTTTTAAACTTGTAGGTAGGTGATTAAAATTTAATATTATGAGCAGCAGTTTGCTCCTTGTGAAAATCCAGCCTAAATGGTGTTGATATTTTTGGAGGTTATGAGATTGCTTACTTATCCCCTACCTCACAGGGACCTGTGGGTACTCCATGATGTGCAGGGTCAAAATCTAAAAAGGTTCTAAAGTCCCTGAGCATTGTAACGAAGATGAGATTCTGTTTTCTTGTGAAAAGCCAGTAAATAGCTTGATGTACAGTGGTTTTTTTTGTTTGCCAACTGGTTTTGGAAATACGTGTCTTGGTGTACAGTTTGTGGGCAATACTGGCCTTGTAGATGGTAACAAAATTCTTAAGGAGTAGAAAATTTGTGCTCATGAATAATGGATTAATGAAGGGAAAAGAATGGAATGGATCTCTAAAAGTTGAGGTCTGTCGATGATGTTTTCTCCTCCTTTCCCTTTGCCTGCTGCCAAGAGAGATATTTCTGTACAGTGCATTCTCATTCCAAGCTTTATGGCCTCCTCAGAAGTCATGTTTCCTGTAAAAAACACCTTGACTTTTATCCACTACACACTCAGAGATGCTCTGCCTTTTGGGATGTTAACCCCTAGTATTTGAGTCATCATCTAGTTGGAGGTATTCACCTTTTCTTGAGGATCTTGATATCCATTTCCCTGATGTTTCTTGTGCAGCTACAGCTCTTAAATACAAACCTCAGACTGCTGTGAGAGAGTTTCTACCTATTTGAGGGATTCCCATTCCCATAATAGTTCCATTCCACTGAGACTTTAGGATGAGAAATGAAGGAGATACTCACTCCTAGGACCATTCATAGGAGCTGACTGTAGGAGCTTGCTCCTACACGAACTGATAAAGAAAACACATTAAAAAAATCATTAATCAATCAAGATCTTTCTTTTTTAGATTATTAAGGAAAAGAAATAATTGGAATAACTGTCTTTACATATTCCTAAACACTTGGGAACCACGTGCTGACATGAAGATGGCCTTAGAGGTCAAGAAAAAGATGCAAGAAGTTATATTGACCTATAAAAAAAAGCAAAGCAGATTATTCAAGAAACCAATGTTTACTTTAGCTTCTGCTTGGCTTGACGTATCAGATACAACAGATGTGTTCATATCAGTTTATGAAATTCAGCGACAACCACTACTTGCTGAATCCACTGGCTATTGTGTGGTATATAAACTTCAAAGAGCACTGCAAGTATTTATTTTTATGTTCTAAAGCTTTTTATTGTGCTGTAGTTTTAAATAGATTAGCAATTTGTTTATTTGGGTAACAGGAGTATTTTAATAAGTACTCCTGGCAATACCATTTTTAAAAATCATCTCTTCATTCTCTGACACTGAAATTGTTTTATGAACAAAGGAAGAAAATGAAATATTGTATCAAATGAAGCATGGCCTGGCCGTGTTTTACAGCGACCATGTTGAATCTTGGCACAGACAAACCTGAAGCAGCCTCTGACTTCTATGATAGAAGAGGCCAACTGTATGCCTCGTGGAGCTTCTTGTTATCAAAACATTGAATTAAAGTGTTAATGGTGTCATTGTGAATCTGCCGGTGTTTTGCAGTACATTATGCTGACAGCCTAATGCAGCTGTTGACTGGCACACTCCAACTTCAGAAAAATGACAGATTTTGTCATTGCCAAATGCCTGTTGCCTCTTGACAAATGCTTGTAATCGCAGAGCTGTTGAGGTTTTTGGACAGCAGAATTGTAGAGCTAATGCTATTACCAGGATGTTCATACAACATTTCAAGCAAGGAACTTTTTTTGGACATAACAAAAATACCTCCTCGGTCTTTTATCTTTGAGGGAGGAATGAAGAAGGTTAAAACATGTTCCAATTCTCAGTGGTCATCCATTAACACAGAATGGTATGTCTTTTCAAGTGTGAAGTCTTTACCCTCCAGTCATTATACCAAAAAATCCTATCTATGCCAATGGAAAACTAAAACAATTTACCTCAGCAAGTAGGATCAGATCAAATGATCAAGAGGTATTTCATTAATCGCCACATCCGAGGGCTTGGGTTTCAGAGTTTTATAAGCAGAGAAACACAGGGCTCGAATCTTTCTCCAGTGTACTTTCACAAGGGCCAGGCTGCTGATGTAGGGTAATTACATGGTCTAAAAATACAGCAGCATTTGTTTAAGTTAATGGAAAAGTTACACCAGCTCCAGAGTGCGCAGGCAAAAGCATATTGAGTTTCCTGCTGACTATTGTAAATGCTTTACATATTAGATCAGAAACTCTGGAACAGCTATTCCTGCGGAATCAGAGGATAAATATCGGGAGCAGAATAATAGGCCCAGTAAATCCCCTTGGCCAGAAAGTTCCTCATGAGACTTCTTCATGCCGTGACGCACATTCAAAAGGAAGAATTTTAAATGACCTGATCACTACAGCATTAGATGCATATCTGTTTAAAGTCAGCTGACGAGTCACTTTTTCCAGTTTCATCGTGATAAATATTGTCGCATTGGAATACTTTGGCTATAAATTGCACTATATAATAGCACATGGGCTAAGGCTGTGAAGTGTTTTCCATGAGAAGTCACTTCAGCTTTTAAATTGAGTTGTGTTCATTATACTTAGATTTGTCTGCTGTCCTGTTCCCACAAACATTTGAGGAAATTGAGTTGATAACTGAATTTTAATATCTAACCTATACTTACTCACAAGAAAATACATTTTTGCATTCTATTCAGGAATTTTTACTGGCAAATGGGTTGGTATGCATTCAGTCAAAAGAAAGAAGGGACTTGGCCTACCAGATGGACAAGCACAGAGGTGTCATGTAAGAGTGATCGATTCACATTTGAAATTGTTGGGGAATCAGTGTATGTAGGGAATTGATGATCTTTTTATGGATATAGTTGCAGTTTTCTTCCCTTTTTTTTAAATCATGTGCTCAAGCTAGTTTTTTTATCTTTCATATAATTATCACCCCTTTAAGATCACTATGGGTTATTTTTATGTATGTTATAAAAATGTGAGTTGCCCTATACAAATTTTGCAACAAAGTTCTTAATGATGTTAGTTATGTGCTTTAATAGCTAACTTGCTGTAAACATATGGCCTGTTTTAGAGAGTTTTCAGCTAAAATTAAAAGCTCAAGATACAGGCACACTGCACAGAGGTATTTTTCAATGTTTAAGTTTGATACAGAGCATTTTTGGTTCCTTTTAATGTTAGTATCTTAATTAACTGGATCACATTTGGGAACACAGTACAAAACTGAAAATTTAATAAATTTTAATGAAAAACCTTTTCTTTTTTTGCAAAACCATCTTTCCACCTTAAGCCATATTAAGATTTATGCATAATAACATTGACTGTTTTAACTTCAACTTACTCTTATCCTGTTCCATGAGTAGAATTAATTTTCTAGAATGTCCTGTTTTACTCATAACGAGTTGCTGTTGAGTTTAACTTGAGCTCATGTGCTTTGTTGGCCCAGAAGATCATGACATGGGCCCTGGGACTGGATAATGCTGAGCAACTGCTGTTGAAGCTGCAAATCCAGAGTACATCACTGAGCACATCTGCTTGGTAGCTCACAGAATCAAACTGAGGTTACTGTAGAATAACGTTTTACCTCCCATTTTCAACTGAATAGGAGGAGATTAAACAGTTAACATTGTGATAGTAAGCTGAACCCTAAGTATTTGAGAGGTAGATAATTACACTTTTCTTTCAGTGATGTTTTGGCTGGGCACGAAGTTTAGTTTTTCCAGTGATGTTTGCTTACATTTCTTGTTGAAGAAACTTAGAAGTCATGAGCAGAGTTTGCTGGTAGTTTGTGTACGTTAAGTGGGTAGATAGGATTTCATGTTTCTAAACTTGTAACTGAGGAGATAGGCAATCTAAGTTACTAAGCAGAGTTTTGCTACCGTTATAAATAGAACTAATTCTAAAGCAATTTTTGTACCTATTAAATTTTTTTGGAGTTTGGGGGAAAGGTAACAAAACAGAAAAAAGTATCAGGTAAGAGTGAAAATCCAAGTACTTAATTTTTTTCATTATTTTTTAAACCCTGGTTTTAAATACAGCCTCTTATTAACATTAGAACGTTTCAATTTTTAGGGTTTACTCTTAAGTAAATTGCCATTCTTGGGGGCATAACATGCAATTAAACATAATATACAGATTCTAACAATGGCAAATTTTGTCTGAGGTAAAAGCATAGAAAAGCAAGGCAGTCTGGACTTGTGAACTTTAGGAATTGTCAACACCAAAAAAGTGGCCAAGCTACTAAGAAAGGTGGTTGTGACTCAACAGAATACTACAGTCTGTTAGTGATAAAAAATTAAAATTTTTCATTAAATGGTAGCAACTGTTCTTGTTATCACAGTACCATTTTTGAAAGCCACAGAGAAAAAAAGTCCTTAGTTAAAGGGAAGAAAACTCTCCTTTTATGTCCAAGAAAGTGAGAAAGCAATGGAGTTGGGGAATATCTTTTAATATATAGTCTTTGGCAGTGTGTATACCTGCATTCATACAAAAGCTTTCTGCAGTACTGTAATATGTTGATATGCTCAGCTCCTGTTAGGTAGGAGAACTGTGGGCTCAGTTGGTGTGTCAACTGCAGCAACTGCCATCCAGGCCATAATTCACTATTTTGTAAAGGATTTGCTGTGTCACCAAACAGAAGACAAATGCTGGTAGACTTCACTAGGAGACACATGGATATTTTCAAATGCCATGACGAATCCTTTTGAGGAACACATGCCTGATACCAGAAGCTTGATTCATTGTCTGTAAACTGTGTATCATTCTTTCGTTGTGAGTGAACTTTACTGTCACATAGGGTACAGTAATCTCGTATTAATGGTTGCTGGAGGGGGAATTTAAGTATTAAAAAAAATGGAAAGCATGTGGTGGAGGTGGCTGATTAGCATCCTGGCTAGCATAGAGAATTCATGCCATGACACTGGCAAAATCCAGAGTTTCTGTGCTGTGGTGGTTTCAGTCATGGGAATTGCAATACTGTAGTAACAACAAAGCTGAGGCTGGTCTGATGTGGAAGGTAATGTCTAAAATCAATACAGAGACAGAAAGGAATATTTCCCTCAGTTTAGGGAGACAGGTGCTTGAATGGCTTTAAAGCACATTGTTACTGCTTTTCCTTATATGTTAAAGATTAAATGATTGTGGGTATTGGGGTCATAGTTAATATATAGATTACTGAGAAAAGCAAAATATAGCAAAAGCCTATATTTTAGCTAGGTACTTTATTGTTCTCTTTGCTTGTTCTTGACTTCATGTTAGTTCAGACCATGGCTCTGTGCCTCTGTTTCTCCTCCCTTGCATTTTCTGTCTAATCTCTACTTCATCTTAACTTTTTAAGCAGGAACTGCATCCTCATAGAATCATAGAATATCCTGAGTTGGAAGGGACACAGACACACAAGGGTCATCGAAGTCCAACTCCTGGTCCTTCACAGGACTACCCCAAGAGTCACACCATGTGCCTGAAAGCGTTGTCCAAACACTTGAACTCTGGCAGGCTTGGTGCTGTGACCACTTCCCTGGGGAGCCTGTTCCAGTGCCCAGCCACCCTCTGGGGGAAGAACCTTTTCCCTATGTTTAACATGTCCTCTGACACAGCTTCAGACCATTCCCTTGGATCCTGTCGCTGGTCACTGCAAAGAAGAGGTCAGTGCCTGCCCCTCCTCTTCCCCTCACAATGAGGTCTCCGCTCAGTCTCCTCTTTGCCAGGCTGAACAGACCAAGTGCCCTCAGCCACTCCTCATACAGCTTCCCCTCAAGGCCCTTCACCATCTTCATTGCCCTCCTTTGGACACTTTCTAATCATATATTGTGGTCTAAAGGTGAGGCCGTACCAGTGCAGAGTAGAGGTTGTTTTTGTGCTGTGTTTTTTGTTTTGTTTTGTTTTACAGTGGCTTGTGCAGTCAGTGTTAGGTCCTTGGGATGCTTAGGCATTTCAGAAGTGATGTTTACAGTAGTAAAAACTTTAAATATGATAAATGACTGAAGTTCTCCTAATGCTTGAAAGGCATTTTCTAATAATTCATAACAAAGCACAGATTTCACTATACCTCATGGGTTTACTGAGACGTACTGAAAACTTTCAGAGATAATAGAAAACAATGCAATATCTTCAACTCTTGCTGTGGGGATTTGGTGTGCTCTGTAATGTAATTTACACACTAATACATGCTAATGCAGCTTGGACTGGCATACTCAATTCTCTTAAATCCCTTGACTGGAAAACAAAATGTCAACTGGTTCTACAGCTCTTTGAAAGCAATTTTTGTGATCAGGTTCATGAATTCATCTGTTATCCATAGTTCTTTCTGGAGAAGTAGGGGCAAAATTTGCAGACAAGCATGACTTCATTCTTGACTCAAAGCAGTGTTTATGAACCACTCGACAAATGCTATGCCTTTATGTAGAAATTCACCCTAATTCCTACCAAGGCGTGCAACACCACCAAACTCTGTGAACTTAATCTGTAAAAAAGCTTGAGGAAAGCATGGCTATAATTTCATAAAGTTTATTTGGAGAATGGGAGATGGTATGTTAATCCCAGCACTTGGAAGTGTTAGTTCATGATCACTGTTCTGCTAAATTGAGAAACTATTCTTCTTTGGGTTACAGTATGTCCTCTGCAAAGCTTGTACCTTTATTGTGTTTCAGACTTATTCGGTGGTTAATGGTGAGTTTTGTGGCAAAAGTTAAAACCTGTGGATTGGTCTCTGCACTTAATCTAGGGTAGACTGATGAATGAGATTTCTTGGATTCCACTAGGCTATTCTGTTATTGCTGGTTGTTACTATTGTTGGTGATTGCCTCTGCCAACAGGTTTCTAATGTATTCTGTCTTTCTGTCATGTATCTTCTTTTGTTCATAAACCTTATCACTCTGACCAGTCAGTGCATACAAAACCCTATACATCAGTCAGAAAAATGTGTGGAAATAATTTCTTGATCCCTCCAGTAGATTTAAGTAACTAAAATTGATTTCAGAAAAAGGGGTCACAGAAGAATTCAATGACATGTACTTAATTTCTTATGGGAACATAACTTCATAAAAGCATTTGTTACTCTCGTAAGAATAATGTTTTTAAAAGCAGTGACAAGTTACATCCGTGGATAAAGTGAGATGTAAAAGGGGTAACACTAGATGGCAACATACACATCCTTTTGTCTGAGTTCGACTTATATTTTTAAGAGAATTATTTGTATTTTAGAAGAAGACATTAATGGTTAATAATGACAGAGAGATAATTACTTGTAAGTACAGATGTCCCTAAATTTCAGGAAGAACAATTTCTTAAGATCTTCACAGAAAAAATGGACTGTCTTCAAGAAGATATAAAAGAACTACTTTCTTTGTATCTCAGTCAAGCAAAGATCGGCAAAACTTAAAAGAAAAAATACTTCAAAAGATCAAAAATGGAAACTCTAAGCAGTTAGCATTTTCTTTCTGGTGATTAATGTAAACATTAAGAGCAGTTACTCTTTGTAGGCTCTGAACAACATTTCTCTAAGCTCAGGTTTACCAGTTCAGAGGGGATCCATATATCATGATGGTGTCTTCTGGAGGCAAAAATGTAGGGAAGGGTCACTGCCCTGCACTACTGCTACTAGAAGGAGCTGGGGTGGGCTGTCACAGTTCAGGTACTGAAGTCCAGATATATTGCGTCAATCTTGCAGGTGCTGGAAGAGCACTGGACTAATGTGGTATTGTGTGGGAAACTGTTCTGCAGGCAGAAGGGGAGGGCTGGAGTGAAAAAGAAAGTGTAATAGTGAATTTGAACATACAAGTGTGTGTCACCCACACGATGATTGCCATAAATTTGTTCCTCTCAGATTTTACGCTCTGTTTCTTCTTTACACTAATTTTGTAAAGTTTCTGCATAATTTAATAAGTACTGGAAGTATAGCTGATCCTTATTTCTGTTTATTCTCACTTTGAAGTTTAACTCTTCCTCTACCTGAACTTGTACTTTGGGTACCCATTATGTGACTTGGAAATCTTTCAATAAGCACCGTCTGCACAGATGCTCTGAAGTCAGGTTGGGGTGGTTTTTTGTTGTATTTTGGTTGAGTTAGGTTTGGGATATTTTTTTAAATTTGCCATAGAGTTTAATTACTGGTAGCAGTTTCATTTACTGGTACTGGTATTTTGTGTGGTGCAGTATATGTGTTGAGCTTTGCAAGACTACGTGTTTCATCTTAAGTGAGTTACTTTGTTTATTATGGAAGCAGTTAGAATTTCAGATTCAGAATATTTTGAGGCTTTGAATGAATTTCTCTTGGAGTGTCTATCTTGTATGGCTTTTGAGAAGATCAAATGTTAGGATATACTGCTTTAAAGAGCCTTAGTTGGCATAATTTCTGATTACTTTGAAATGGCGTTTTGTTTTGGTTTCTAAAATACAATTGTACTGTACAAGTTATGTACACCTTTGTGTTATATCAGCAAATTTTACGCACGAAGGAAGCAATTGTTATGATAGCCTATGCTATAAAGTGTATCAGTGCATCCAAATAGTGCTTTTAATTTTGATTCTAATAGCAGTAATTTTACAGAAACATCATCATCTTAATTTTACACTTTGTTTGAATAACCAAACATATAGTTTTGTTGTTGATATAGTTTTAAAACTTAAAAGCAACAGCTCTAACTTGTCTGGTTTTAATTTTCCTATGATTGTAATATACAGTAAATGTGGCTAATTCAATGATTTTTTTATACTGTAAAGAGTAAAACACACTGTAGAGCAAGCATACTCTAATACATACTGCGTAAATGTAAACTGGTTTTCTATTTTAAAAACCTTAGTAGTTAAAAATATTACCCATTTTATTTGTAGAGGAAACAGGTAGAAATAGTAGCAGACTTACAGCTGCAGTGAATGCAAAGCATGCCTTTTAGGGATACGTTTCTCTGTGTGTTTCTAGAAATATATGAGAATAACAGATCTTTGTTGGTTTTCAGATGTCAAATTTAAATTTCTGTCCCGTTCTACATGTGAATGGCATTATGATGCCTGTACAAGCCCTTGTTTCAAGACATGTAGAGACCCTTTTGGAAAAAACTGTCAGACAGTACCAAAGTAAGTATCTGTATTTTTATGGAAGAGTGTGTAATTTGGGCAATATACTTAAGCAGGATAGTAGGAATATAAGTGACCAGATACAGGCTTAGTATATCAGGACTGTGTTCTTGTATAAGGAGGTAAGGCAAAGAGAAAAGAAATGGAATAAAACCTGCCGCTGCAGCTACATAAAAGTGACATTTCCGTCATTAGCGTACCGTCAGATTCTGGAATGACTAGTATATTTGTATGTGTACAGCCTGGGGGTGGTATTAATAAAGAAAGGTTATTACAAGTTTGTTTCAAATAGTTGTGCCCCTTTGTTTCCATTATCTCATAGCAACAGCCATATCTGTACTTGCTTTTTCTTCCCAGTTGGAATTTTTGCTGAGCCTGATAAAACTGGCATTTGGATTTTTGTGTGTAAAAATGTTTAGTGTCTCTTAAGCAATAGTATTCACTACTGAACTGAACCTGTGACTGTTAATTTCAAAGGCTGAGTATCACAGAGCTTATGCTTTAGCTTAGGTCTGAGTGAGAATGGAAGTCATGGCAATGACATTTTGAAGGAGTACACTGAGGTGAACCAGACATACTTTACGTATAAATTCCATTTTTCTAAAATTAAATTCTCAATCCAGAAGATACTGTTCATCTAGTTAATAATAACTGTTTTTCTTTTAGAGTGGAAGGATGTATCCCTGCCTGCCCTCTCAATATGTTGCTGGATGAAATCACACAAAGATGCGTGTATTTTGAAGATTGTATGTCTGAAAAAATGATATTTTTTATGTATTATACTTAGCTTATTAATTTTTTAGTTCTTTACTCATAATTTAAAATATCGGTGCCTACATTTGTGTAACTATGACCTTAATTATATGAATCTTGAGCTCACTAAACATACACTTTTGTTAAAATAATTTCATTCGTCAAAAATATGAGACAAATTTTAAACTAAGAAAGATGTTCTTGCTTCAAAACATTTCAGTAACATTATATTTCAAGAAAATGATTTAATGAATTTATTTTTAATTTTTCTACGAGCTTTAGAAGTTTAAAGGCAATTGAAGAGATCGGTTATATGAGTTAACCTGTAACTAAGCTAGCTTCATCACTATAATTATTCATAAATTTCAGACTGTTTTCCTGTGTCTGATTTCAGGCATTGAACCTGCAGATGATATTCCACCTTTGCCTCCCAGCATTCAAACACCAGCAGTTCCACACATAACATCAAGTGCAAGTTTGGCAGCGATCGGTGGAGCGTTAACTTCGTTTCCTGTACCTGGAGCAAAGGACGTGGAAACAACACTTGCTACAAAATTGCAGCTCACTGCAACTACAGGGAAAACTGAATTTTCAGCTGTTACATCTAGTACAACACTTCCAACAATAACTTTATCATCAAACGTTTCATCACAGTCAACAGAAATGACATCTGGGGGAAGCACTGCAGCAATATCTGGGACAACAAAATCTAGTGTAAGCTTGTTTGCTTCTGTTGACACTTCTCCTGTGTTTCCATCAGCTGTCAGTTCAGAAACTTCCACAAAGATACAAGTGATCAGTAGTGGTTCCACTAAACTATTGAGGGCCACAGAACCTCAGACACTAACTGCTACACATGCAGTGACTACAAGCACAGAATCAGAAAGCAAACCAATTGCTACTTCTGTTTTTACTGGGACACCACTCATACTTAGAACAACAGAAATGCCAGTCAAAACTAAAACAATGGAAATATCAGAAATAGCCATAAGAACACATCCCACAAAAGAAGCACAAGTAAAGCCAGAAGGAGTTATAAGGTTTACACCCAGTTCATTTGAATCAATAACAGATAAAACTACTCCATATGTGCCACAGTTTTCCAGATCACCACCTCTGGATGTGCCTTCATATACAACACCAGTAAACTTAACAGGAACTTTGGAAGGGACAAAAATCAGTGTAGAACAGTCTTTTATCACAGTAGCTAATGTTACAGTAACATCAGTTTCTCCTATGCTCACTACTTCATCTTTATTAAAACCAGTGTCTTCAGCAACAGCTGTTTTAACCAAGCAAACTGTGAAGACAACATTTTCACCAACATCCATGCCATCTATTTCATTAGGAAAGACAACTATGGAACCTCCTTTTGTAATGGTTCAACACCTGACTGGTACTCCAGAGGTACCTTTCACTACAACTCTAGGTCCGAAGAAGACAACTCTACAAACTCAAGAGAGATCATCAGAAACAACTTTATCATTTGCAACTCATATAAAGGAAATTCCCAAAACAACATCTCATGTGGAGCATACATCAAGTTCCTATTTCCCTCCATATTCGCTACACCCTAGTTCTACAACTGAAAAATCTTTCACTCTTTCTACAAAAAGACCTTCAGTGTCTGTTCCTACTCCTGCTTCTCCAGCTTCAGGTGAATTTAAAAAAACATTTAAAACTGTTTTGACTACAGGTTACCCCTCATACACAGTTCTAAATACAACACAGTTCCTGACTACATTATACACGAAGTATCCTGTTGTGGCTGAGACTATCAGAGTGACACCTTTGTCTGTTAAGGAGACATCCAGAATAACATCTCCTCCTGAATTAGCAGCAAAGACAACTTCGTTTTCTGGAAAAGCATCTACTGAATACAAGTCAACTCTGGTTTCAAGTACAGCGAAGACAAGCACTTCAGCATATTCAGGTAGTGTTACCACATCAGAAATGAAAATCAAAGAAACCACCACTCCTTTTGTAGCTACAGAAAGAGAATCATCTCAAAGAACATCCATCGCTGGATCTCCACTTACTCTCCTTAGTGGGACTGAAACTACATTGTTGACAACACAGCCTGATAAATCACAAGTGGAAAGTATTACTACCATCTCAACTAGAAAGCCATCTGCCTTGACTTTCTCACCATCAAGTTCTCTAATCCCTTTAAACATTTCTCTTCCTTCACTACCCTCAGATGGAAAAGAAGTATCACTGACAACTCTCAGTTCCATGCATACATCCCATGAAACAATCTCTTTATACCCAAGAACAACTATAGAAAAATCTATGTTAACGACAGAAAAGACCTCTCCAGTCCTGACTTTCTCTATTTTATCCACTGTAACAGAACAATCAAGTCTAGTAACAACGGAATCATATGAAAAATCACCAGGCAAAGCCATTTTGAATATCACTAATGCCACAATCTCCCCATCCTCTGAATTTAGCAGCCAGCTCATAAGAACCACAAAAGTAATGACAGGCAAAGAAAAACCCTCTCTGTCCCCTTCTGTTGTACTTCCAGTAACAAAGTCTTCTTACACCTTCTCTGCCTCTCAGTATCTGGGAGATAAATTAGTTTCTTCACCCTCTTTAACACAACGGATACCGGAAGTAACAACCACACCAAAATATTCAATAGAAACTAAAACAGTTTCTACAGCACTGAAACCTACAGTCCAAAGTATAACAGATACAGTGAAACTTACAGCAGCTACAGCTCCGCCATCCCTGCCTCCATCTTCAGCAGGCCCCTTCTCTTGGCAGACATCTTCAGGACATAAACTTTCAGTACAGACCACAAAGACCATGGTTATACCACATTTTTCTACTCAGAAGGTTATGGAACTTGATCATCGGACTTCTGAACCTTCCCCGATGAGCCAAAGCATTACCCCAGCTTACCAGTATCCTGCAGAAACACTAACAAAATCCACCAGTCAGCCACAGCGTGTCTTTAGCACAACTGAAGCTACAGCAAAACTGCCTTCCTTATACCCCTTAATGACCTCGCTACCGGAAGGCATTCATTCAAGTATATTGCCTTCCTCAGTAGGTCCTACAAAAGTTATTTTACCAACTGAAAAATATTTGCGTTTAACTGATTCGGTCACGCAGCCACAGGTTTTAAGAACTTCTGTTTTGCAGTCTACAGTCCCAACTAGAACAACAGCTGACTTTATTTTTGGCACCAAAATTCCCTCTTTCTCACCAAAAGTGCTTGCGTCTTCCTCCTCTTTAACAACAATTAAAAAGGAGCCACTTCCTTCATTTTCCACACAAAAGGCAGCTACAGATCTAAAATTCACACACCAGGCCTTGTTTTCTGAATCACTTGATTCAAGACAAACACTTGAAACAACCTCATCTTCACCAGGTCCTAAGTCAGCCTCTTCAGTGGTTTTGTTACCAGAAACAACAGAAATTCCCATTGTGATGGGGGGTGGGCCATCCACATCGACAAGCAAAAGCGATACAGAGAAAACTGTGGTGTTGCCTAAGCAGGTCACGCCTTCAGCCACCACCTTCAGTTCCACCTTTGTAGCAAGTACAGCTGCAGCTTCAGCCTCTTCAGTGATAAGCAGTGCTGGGCAAAATCTTAGTATTGCATCAGCAACTTTAGGCAAAGCAGAAGCGGTCACAGAACCCATCACAAGTGCTGTGAAGCCCACTTCTGTTACTTCAGAAGCAAAAGGAGCTGTGCCCCTTGACACAGTAAAATCTGAAGAGCCACAACTACCAACACAAGTCCAACCTGTTCTTACTCAGGGTGTTACTGTTACCCCAGAAACACCTCAGACATTTTACTCTCCATATTTCACGAACAAAACTTCAGTTCTCTCCACTATACATTCATCTTCTGAATCAAAACCATTTTCTTCTACAGCTGCATCATCAGTCAGTACTAGTCAAAGTTCAAAACCTGAAATATCATCTGAGATGCAAACACCTTCTGTGAGTTCACTGCTAATGATACCTGGTCATCCAAATGACACAACAACTCCATCAGTTTCCTCGTTTACCTATTTATCTACCAAACCACTTCATGACTTGACTACAACACTTTCTGATGGACTGGCAACAGCTGAAGCCGTGTCAGGAGTCACAGCATCACCTTTTATGGTGCCTCAAGAAACAGCAACTCTTCAAACTTGTACAGTGAGTAGCTATAAATATTTATCTGTCTGTTTTGGAATATGTCTTTTACGCACCGAGTTAAAAAAAAATTGTGAGCCATACCTTGATCTTTAGATTTTAAAGTATCTGTATCAAACAGGGAGCCCGATTATGTTATCAATTGTATCTGAAACCTTGGATGATTTCATTGCGCATGATGTTTTTTTCTAAATGCTATACTGTACTCAGTTTTATTCCTCAGTTTTCTGAGGTGTGACCATTACAAGGGTTTTTTGGCAAAAATGGTGTTTTTATATGCTTTTGTCATATTGCTCTCCTTAAAATATATCTTTCCAGAGATCCCTGTTATTATGCCTGTTTGTGCCCTTCTGTATTTTTTCTTCTCAACTTTTTTCAAAGTAAAGTTAAAAATTCAGTAGTGCTGTTCTCACCTTTACAACAAGACAGCAGTGTTAATGTGTCCTCAGAATGGTCAGGTTTTCAACATGCTCTTCACTTGTAGCTTCTATGAGCATCATAGGGATCGACAAGTATTCTGTACCTGAAGAATGTGAACCCCTTTTTTAAACAAAAACTTTACAATATTGTGATACTAGATTGATAAGAATGGTAACCTGTGTCTTTTATTAAATGTGCCTTAGCCAATCACAGAGAATGAGTGCATAAAACACATTTGCTTGGATGGACAACTGATCCAAGTTAATAAGTCCCAGAACTGCCCATACAATGCAACTCAACCCAGCTGTGGAGTTTTAGGATTTGCTACTCAAATGAATGGTGACAAATGCTGCCCAAAGTGGGAATGTGCATGTAAGTTTTAATTATGTACCTTTGAAGTGAATTTAGGTAACAATTTAATGCATGTGTAAGAAGGCTAAGAACTGACACTTCTATACCATAGCATAGAAATAGAAGATGCACACTGTAGGGGTTACTCATTGTCTAATGAAAGTTATAATTCTAATTGTACATCCAGGGAAATTAAATCAAAATGCTCCTTTAATTTAGGATATTCCTCTTACTCAGCTTTAGGTATCTGCAGTAAATATGTCCAAGTCTGACTTAGACCCATCTTGTCATTGGTCTAATCAGGGGACACTTAATCAATATAACCAGTGGATTCTTTGGTTCATTTTATATCTACTTGAGGATGAGAAGATTTCCCAGACTGTTAACTATCTATGTTTGCAGTTTGGGGATTCTGTACAGTAGTCACTCCCATCAGTTACCTGGAATTGGGTAGAAGGAATCCAAACCTTGAAGACAGTTTGATTTAGTACATAACAGCAAGGAAAGTATGCAGAGATAAGCAATTGGAATTTCTGGTTGTGCTCTAAAGTTTGAATGAACTCGGAGCAGAACTTCAAGCCCTTTGAAACACAATAGCTTTAGCAATGAGACTGGGAAATAGAAACTCTCCACCTTAGGAACAAGACTAGAAGGGAACTAAGGATCTGGTGGGAGCTACTGTCATTCATGATTTTTCCTAGTTTAGCGTTTGTAAAAATTGCAATTCCTTGCTGGCAAGATCTGTAAGGATAATTGCAGAGATCTGCAGGTTGTTCCCTGAAATATGCAGGATTTGACTCTGCTGTCCATTTACAGAGATGAAACAGTATCAAATATAGCTGAAAATATATGTTGCATATATGAAACTCTAGTAAGGTAATCTTCTAAAATTTACTTGTTTATCTTCGTATTTTGTAATACTTACTGAAATTCTAAAATAAGTTAGAAAAAAATTTACTGTTTTTTTTCCCTCAGGTCGTTGCACCATTTTCTCTGATCTGAGCATTGTAACCTATGATGGAAATCATTTGGCTTTATTCAAAGAAGCATCCTACATTGTTAGTCAAACTCAAGATGAAACTATAACCATCCATGTCCTTGACTGTAGAATGGTAACTAACATTTATCAGCTACCAGAAGGTGTTTGGTACTACTAGTAATATGTATCTTAAAAGCAAGAGCATAGTAATACTACAGAGTTGTGGTTATTATTCACTCCTGTGCAATATCTATGAATTGTACTTGCATTTTACAACACTCACTGTTTGTATAACACTTTATCACCTGACTGCCTATGCATAGTTCCTTCTGAGACAGCTGGAAGATGAGAAGTAGATCCATGTTATTTCATTGTATGTGCAATACAGACAAGGTGGTGAGAGATTAAGTGGATACGCAGCACCAGTCACTTCTGTGAGTGCTGTCATCTAACAAATACCACCAGTGTATTTCAATGCATGATTTTTACTATGTTCATGTGGAGAAATTCACACTGAAAACACCAATCTTCAGAGCCATGAAAGACTGTAGGAATGCCAGACTGAATTGGATCACCCTGTGCATTCTGAGTTTCTGACATGGGAGGAAGAGAGAAATCCTAGTGGGCATCCTGTCTAATGGGTAGTGTGGATTGGCTTTTGTCATGAAAAGTTAATTTCTTATGAACCTTTACAAAACTCTTTAAATTCCAGTCTCTTCCATGAAAGCTAGGTAATTTTGTTATCCATATAAATGTCCATTACAAAGTTTGGTCCCAAGTTGTACCTTATGCAAGTTAATTTCAGGAGTTCAATGTGATTGATTTGAAAAAGATGTGTTTATGATTTTCAGATTTGCTTTCCTGTTGCATTCAGTACTTTGTTCTGTTCAGTGCCTTTTAACTCAGGAATTATGCGTGTATTTCTGATCCATTACTTCTGTACTGTACATATATCAAAGAGATACAAGAATGCTATCCAGATAAACTTTGTAGTCCTGACTTGAAACTGTAATCAGCAATGGATTTCCTTTCTTAATAATATATCCCCCAAAAATCCTTAATTTCCCAGTGCCTAAAAAGAGTAAGCAGCTAACGTAGAAAGATTTCGCACATCATGACTATGGTTAATATATTTTTGCTTTCTCCACAGAGTAATTCAAATTCAACTTCTTTGTGCCTGGCAACATTGAATCTAACCTATGTATCAAACCAAATTATTATCAATCGTTTAAGTAGAAAAGTAAGTATTATGAAGCTTTTTCTTTTCCTTTTAGATAGCATCTTACTTCTGTAATCAGCTGCCTTCTCACATGGATACTGAGGATTAATGTAGAACAAAAAAGTTCATATAACTTGTTGATTTCGTAATTTAGTTAACTCCTACTAAATTCAAAGAGCCAAACTCTCATACAAGGACAGTTGCTGAGGTAAGTCACAGAGTAAGTCACATAAACTCTTAGTCCCTTTGGTGCCTATATTATCTTTGTTGAGGAGAGCCTGACTTCTTTTGGAATTGGTTATGATTTAGATTTCTAAGCTGCTGAGAATCTGGCCTTAGTTCTTCTACCTGACAATTAACCTCTCTTCTGCCTGTCTTTTAGGTAACAGTAAATTCAAGATCTGCTTGGCCTACTGTTAGAAAATATGGATACAAAGTTGAAGATTCAGGCTTCAAGTATGCGGTTGAGACCCCATCAAAAATCAGAATTCAGTGGTTTCACAACACAGGTGTGATGATTATTGAGTTTAATAGTAGCAGAGAACCAAGCACTTTGGGACTGTGTGGTAAGTATAGACGAGTGTAAGCAATAAAGGCATTCAGATGCTTTGCTAGGGAGACACATTTTCCTAATGATATAAACTATTTATTTCAGGATCTGTCCCAAAAGAGTTATTGCAGATCATTGCAAAGTTTAAGATACTATTAAAATTAGTCTGTTATTAATTTTTTTAGTTGTTGAAATGATGTCTGACATCTATCCCTGTAATCACTTTTTGCCCATAGTGTTGCTCCTGTCTGTAACCTGTTTGAATCACAGGCATGATTGCTGTAACTAAACCCAAATAAATAAGACAGGTATAAGTCCATAATGTCAAATAGGTCCTTTACAGATACAGTGTTTGATATCCATCTGATAGGAAGCGATATGTACTATTTTCAGTTTCTAAAGGTCAGATTTCTCAGGAAATGTTAACTTGAGAGAACTAATCTTTGTTTATCTGTTGGAGGAAATAGTTCAGAGGGAATTTCTTAATAGTAACAGGTTAAATAAACATCATGTTGCCCTCTGTTAGATCAGTTCAATAGTTTTGCCTACTTTCTTTCTTTCTAAAAAGCATAGCCTTGAATAAGCTGTGGGTGTTATAACCTTTGCAAGCATGTATTTGTTGATGTAAATCCCTACTGTGTTAGCTGAATCTGTAAATTTATCTGCTGTAAATTGGAGCTGGAAAATGGGATTAAAGAGATCATATAATTGCAGTGGATATCTTTCCAGTTTCAGAAAGGGCAAATGCCTGGAGCTCAGTATCAAATACCAGTGATAGCTCAGTCCAGTTTCAAGTCATGAAGACAGTAATGTGCTTCTCACAAAGTTTGAATTCGTGCCATTTTGAAATTGGATTATTATCTGTAATTTGCCCTAACTTTTGTTTACAGAACCATTCTTGCTCTCTTTGTCTAGTTGTTACTGTGGTTAGATCAAACAGAAACAAGAAAGTAAAGACTGTGGTTTTTTAGTAAGCCTGATTCAAGTTATCCAGAAAGTCTCTTTTGCCTTTATGTGTTTGATTACTGTGATAGGGAGCACTGAGAACATTATATTCCTGGTTTACAAGGCATTTTGACTAGATGACAACACATTTCTGTGGATGATGTTGCGAGTACAACTTCTTCAGAGAATGTGCTGTGTATTTCTGGTATTCCTCCATGACTGGGATTCTCTGCATGGGTCTGCCTGCACTGTGCTGTCTGGTGCAACTTAGAGAGCCTGCTTTAAGTGAGCTTCTTGTGGTGCATCTTTTCAGGCTAAATTAGTCTACTCCGATCTCCTGTGCTTTCTGTGTAATTCTGCTATTTGTATTTGACCTTTCTCAGATGTCTTTCAGCTGAACTTCAGTATTGGTAGATCCTGATTTCTCAGCTTCATGGAAATGCTAAAACTCAAGACACCATTGCAGTTTTGTGGTACAATCCTCCCTTGGAAGGATTCGTGTCAGAGACAAGTGTGTTTTACAGTAGAAGGATTGGCCAAATGTGGCAGCTGGTGAAGAGCTGGTGGGGGAGAGGAGGGGTTTGGGAAGGGAACATTGACATCTCTACAGCAAAACTGGTGAAAGAGAGTACAAGAATGTCAGTTTTAGCTGTAACCAGATCCCACCAAGACAAATGTGAAGCCTTAGTTTTGCTATGTTAAATCTCCTTGTCAATGTGTAAGAGAAGTAAAAAAAGATATCCCTGACATGACAGCAATCCTTTGAAGTCTTTCAGAACCATCAAGTACTTCCTATCTGTGTTGCATATACTCACAACCTCAAAAGGTTCAACCAGAAACATTTTTTATCAAATAAAGGTTACAATTTGAAAAGCTGTTTTACTCTTTGAATGCCTGTTGCTGTATCACTGATTGTCAGTGACTTGCTCTTGTCATAAGGGATTGTGAAAAGTGGTAAAACAGACCAGTTCTTTAGAAAAGGGTGAAATCCACAAATAGTTTTTTTAGGATTGTGTTTGTGGAGACTTCAGAAAAAAAACATTCTAGAAGTCTGATACAAAAGTTTCAGAAACTGATTAGGAAGAAAGAACCAGGGACTCATCCATCATTCTGCTTTTTTTCTACCTGCTATCTTTTAAAGGACCTTCTGAGGAGGCTACTGTAATACTTGGATGTTCTGTGTTGACCAAACTCACCCTCCATGTTACATTGCTTCTTTTGCTCCGAAGTGTTTCAAAATTGCCAGCTATCTTAGCTAAAACGGGGGGTGGGGTGGGGTGGGGGGGCGGGAGGGAAGGTGATGCTGCCTTCTGGGAAGCAAATATAGAAAAGTTGGATTTTTTTTTTCTCCTGCTGTGTGGTAATATAGATATACCTGGAAGTGCCAAAAGCTACACTTCTATAGTAGCTCTCCAGCCAACAGATGCTTAAGATTGCTCAGAACCATAAGTAGAATGATACAGTATGAAATACTGTATGATACAGTCTGAAATACAGTATTAGATAAGCATCTTTGCATTTTATGGGAGTTCCCTTTTCTTACAACATTTACAGTTTTAATTTGTTGCTATACACAGAGGTGCTTTGTAACCTTTTTTAAAATAGATTTTTGTTTAGTACCTGTGCAACTGAGGGGTGAAGTTTTGTGCCATAGCTGGACTTTCTGAACAGCTCTTTGATATGCAATAGATTTCCACTCATAGATGCATCTTTGCTTTCGTTTTTCTTAATTTTTCTGAAATTTGTGTGTTTTGATTCTACCTTTCTATATCTGTTGTAGGTTGTGATACTGTTATATTGTATAAGATTTTATAAAGCTATTTACTTATTTGAATGTGCCACTTCAAACATCATTCTGAATGAACCACATGGTGTTAACCTTTTTTTTCCTTCTGGTGATTCACAGGGTTTTGTGATAGAACCTTGGAAAATGACTTGATGCTACCCAACAGGACAGTTTTAAGCAAAAGCAGTTCACCATCGACTTTTATAGACAGCTGGCAAGTGCCAGACACATTAAAGTATGCTGGAGAAGACAGGCATCAGGAAACTAATTGCTCACTCACAGACTGCTCAGAGTGCTTAAGAATGGTGTTGAACCAGACCTTCAGCAGCTGTCATCCTTATGTATGTTAACTATTTCGAAGCTTACATTTTGAGAGAGCTGCAGTTCAGATATAATCTTGCATACTTGATAATTTCATTAATGGGAGACTGCATGTAAACACATCTATTGAATGAGTTGTATACTTTATCTTGTATCTACAGTTGCAAGGTAAAACTAATTGAAGAGTATGGCAGCTTGATAGGAGAGTTGCAGTTAGCAATAACACTTTCAGAACTTCATCTCGGTTAGTTTTGAAATAACACCTAATTCATAAACCAGTCTCAGCTAATTCAACTGTATCTATAAGATGTAGAGAAAAGTAAAAGAAAATAGTTTTAGAATCTAATTAATCCTTAAGCCTTCAGCAATTTAACAAGTCCCAAATTTGCAATAGGTAATCTGAGAACCTGCATTCTCAAAGGCTCTAGAGACGGTTCCAGCTCAGACATGTGAAAGGGTAGAACAGGTCTTGTAAAGCAAGCCTAAAGCAAATAACAAACTCACAGTGTGCAAATAAATTATTTGTGATCATATGAGTGCATTGCCATTTGACCTTTTGTATATTGTTGAGTTTGAGGAAGAGGAAGCCAAAACCAGGTAAAAATATAGAGGTAAGGAAGAACAAAGAACAAGTAATTATGCCTTCTGTTGGAAAAACTCTATTACCTCTTATGTTGTCACTTATAAGAGATGAAACTGAGGAATATAAGTATGGCAACATTCAGAAAGTCTTACTCTTAAATACTAGTAGATTGCCTCTGTACACCAGTGAAGGCTTACTGTAAACCAAGAACTTTTGGCTTCATTGTTTGTAGCTGGCACTTTAAAAGGTTGGTCTTTTTCCCACCTAGCATAGTCTCTATGAAGGCACCATATCTTTTTTTTTTTTCTTTGTTAGGTTCCACCTGAGCTGTTCTGTGATATATGGGTTCAGGACACTGAGTACATTCGAAATCCATGCATTTCCCTAGCTGCCTATGTGGCAATGTGCAACAAATTTAATATTTGTATAGAATGGAGGAGCTCTGATTACTGCCGTAAGTATTCTGCATATAAGTGCATCTCTAGTGCTCACAGAGACAAAACTTGCCTAGTACAAGAGTTACTGTAAGTTGAAAATGCCAATTGAGTCTTTGTGTACTTTGGAATTATTATTGAGATAATAAATTTAGCATTTTTTACTATACACTCCAAGCAGTGTTCAAAAGTAATCAGGACCATTATAGCCATTTCAGAGATGGAAAAGGTAAATGGAAGAACTTTGCTCACAATTCTGCCTCTGGTTTACTATGTACATTTATGCAGAAGTTAAATCTTCTCTCTTGCAATGTAGTGTTTGTTTCTCAACCACTTCCCAGTGATAAAAACAAAACACAACAGAATTGGTTGCGGAAAGGAGGAAGCCACAAAAAAATAAGTTCTGAACAATATCACTGGTCTGTGTACTATTTGCAAAGGTTTTTGAAGTTTGAATTATTTTGTGTCAACACTGTTGACATGGTTTGATATCTCTACTGCCAAAAAGCAAACCGAGGCCTGATGAAAATGTTATTACAAGAAGAGAAGTAAAAGTGCTTGAAAATACCTTTTGATTGAATTTGTCATGTAGAAGGTAACTGGTTTGTATCGGTGTGTCAGATTGGTAGATCTGACTGAATTGGCAAGCACAGAAAGTTGACAAGACAATAATTTCTTCTCTTAGATATTGCCTCATGTGATTACAGCTTCAGAATGTGTGATTTGTTTATTTCCTTTCTAGCCTTCCCCTGCTCTGAAAACTTCTCCTATCAGCCTTGTATAGCTGCCTGTGAGGTTCCAGATAGTTGTCAGAATAATGAGGTTGCTTCTCTGGATTCACACTCCTGCTCAGTGTTGACAGAAGGCTGTGTCTGTGCTGGAGGGACCATCCTTCACCGAACTCATACTGCTGTCTGTATTCCTGAAGAAAAATGTGGTATATTTGGATGTGATTTTCTTCTTTATTATCTGCAAGTTGGTGGTCAGATACTTCATTATTAATAAGTTGAGTTCTGGTTTGGTGTTGTGTGGGTTTTGCATATGTCATTCAGTTGAGGATTCTAGATATTCAGCAGACATTAACTCTGCAGGTGAGCAAGCAGGGAATATCCTTGTGATATACAATTTTGCTCACCTCTCAGCTGAAGAGTGCTCTTCAAAATGGAAGTCTTTGTTTATGCATTCTAGTATTCTAAGCGTGTTAGTTTTGGCCTCCTTTTTACCTAAGCCCTTTGCCAAGGGTCCAGCCTTTCAATACTAAATGGCATTCAAAAGTTATGCAGCAACAGTTAATTACACATTTTGAGTAATACATGTATATGTCCTATATTCTTTCTGCCAGCATTCATGTTTATTTTTATTATAATTCTGCCTCAGCACACCAAATAGCAAACCAATGCCTAACAACACAAACCTTAAAGATATAGATTTATTAAGATTTATTATGATAAATCAGACAACATAAAGCACTGTAAATTAGTAATAGTTTTGATATGTGTGAAATACAGAAGTAGTTTGTGTGGAGACACAAAACAAAGTGGAGGCCCAGATCTTCTGGAGAATACTGAGTGTCCTGCTTTCCCACAGGAGCTCAGTCTCAGACTATCTGCTCTTTCACTTTCTTGTGGGGTGATGGAAATGGGTGAAGACTTTAAAATTCTGGGATTTTTAGACTTCATAGAAAATGGTGGTCAAAATTTGAAGTAAAAAAGGATTACTTCTGTTTTCTGTTGTCCTGATCTAGCTTGTACAGACAGCTCAGGAACACCTCACGCAGTGGGTGAGATCTGGAACACTTCTTTGAGCGGGTGCTGTATGCAAAAATGTGTTGACAGTGAGACTGTTATTCCAGTGGAGTACAACTGTTCAGATACCCACGATTTAGACTGTCAGCGGTTTGCAGAAGTGACCTTGCATGTTCCTGGTGATCAGACATGTTGTCCTCAGAAGATCTGTAGTAAGTATTCCTTAATGATTATGAATACTGCCACTGAAATATGCAGCTATCTTTACTCTGTGGTTGTTTTTTTTTTCCCATTACATATCTTACTTTTGAAGCAAATGGAAATGACTTTGGTTTGAATTAACAGACTACATAGAAAATTGTAGAAACTTTTTACTGTTTGGCTCAATATCCAGTAGGTTTTGGGGTAGAGGCAGAGGTACAGATGAGGGTTAAGAGGACTAAAAGAGCACTATGTTTATTTGGATATGAATTGTGTTTCTCTCAGCTGTAAAGGTTACTGTTTTATTTTTAACATCTGAATACAAGCAAAAGATATAAGTAATTCTGAGAAAAAGTGTTCTGGTGATTGTTTATCAAATTTACGAAGTGAGCAGTAAAAAATGATAGAAAAGTGTTGGTTTTTTTTTTTTTTTAATCCTTACTCAGTTTAGAAAGCCCATCTTCAAAAACAAATTTCAGTTCCCATGTTTTGATCACCTGATATGATGCAGTGAGTTTTCCACAGAATTTTATGTTTTCAATTCTTACTAAACTCTAGTTTAGTGTTGCCTCCATGGAGAGTGCTGCAAATGATGGACACTTCTTAATATTGCCTTGGGATTTTTTGCTAGTTCATTGTGGTTTCATATGCATATTGTTATTTGGAGATTTAGGATATCTAACTGCAAATACTGCTTGTCACTGATCTACTTGACTTAAAAATGCATAGTTTAGAAGGTAATTATTTTTTTTTCTTTCCCTGTATGTAACAGTTTGTAATCAGAGTCTCTGTGAACACTTGATCCCTGAGTGTAATGCCTTGGAAAAGTTGGTCACTTACTACAGGGAAGAATCCTGTTGTCCCAGCTATGTTTGTGGTAAGTTTCTTTTCAAAAGGTAAAAAAGTTCACCCTGTAAAAGACATTCAGTAAACTAAATAGATCAACTTGGATGCACAAAGGTAGTTAGTGTAAATACCATTGCTAGTTTGGCCGTTTACAAAATTTGCTTTAGTCTAAAAGCTTGGGGTTGGTCTGTGCCTCAGTTTGAGCAGATATGATGTAGTCTTGTGTTTACTGATAAGGCAAGAACGTCTTTGCTCTCTTGTGTTACAAGGTAGAAGTTTTTTCTAAAGCAGCTTGTAGTATCTCTCTGCTCTGCACTGCCTTTCTTAGGAATATAGCATAACAAAGGAGGAATTCTGAGCTTCATATAAAGAAATACATTTGTTGTACTTTTTTCAGAATGTGATCCAGAAAAATGTGAACCAATGGAGGAGATACCAAGCTGCCAGGATGATCAGACACTAATTGCTGCTCGGGTGGAGCATACCTGCTGCATTTCCTATATATGTGGTACAGTAGCCTGACTGGTTGACATTATAAGTGTATTTTTGCATATGCAACGTTATTTATTATTATCTTGCAAATTAGGGCTTCTTGTACCTCCTTTAGCTCTCCTGACCTAGTAAGGCTTGAAAGTGGTTAAAACAATGGGCATTAAGTTTACAAAACATAAGAAATGGCAACAACCCTGAAAAGTCACAGAACATCTTTGTGCAACTGAATAGTATTCATGGGTTATGAAGAGGAGTGGTAATGGAGTCCATGGGTGAGGAATGAAGGAATTCAGGTCTTTTTGAGATCCATGTACAGGGTGTGAATTAGCTGCATGAATATTTTGTCTGAAAGGAGACTGAAGTTATATATGCTTTTACTCCCTACATTCTGCTGTATCAGCCATGGTCCATCTTAATCAATGAAAAATATGCCATATGAGAGTAATATGCAAATTTATTCAGGTCTTTTGGGATTTGACCTTTAATGACTTAATTCAATATTAAAATTGCACTTTTGGCATTAGTATAAGAGCCCCGATATTACTGTACAGTTGTCTTCTGCATAATAATGTGATAATCAGGTTCTATTGAGTTTATGTTTGCACAGATATCTGTGATTCAAAGGCCCAGTTGCCTTGATTAGCACTTCCATGTGCAAAAATTTGGGCATTAATAAAAAACATGAATTACACTTCTGTTATTTACAGTAATCAGGGGATTACTTTGATCATGTGATAGCAATGTGCAGTGTTTGGCTCTTCTCACTATCTGCAGAGCATTCTTCTGACTCTTTTTTGATATAATGAGTCTTTATACTGTACATGTTGAAAAGTACATGTTGTGGTTTTCATATGTGTTCAAGTGGGAAGATAACACTGGGATCACAGGAGATGCCCTTTATTTTGAATCAAAGATTTCAGAAAACAACAGTATGAGCTAGTAGGAGAGAAAAACTAGCAAAATTTTTCATAGCAAAAAAGGGAGGGAAAATCATGTTTGGTCACAATGTATTCATTCTTTATAGCAGGGGACAAAGGAAAAGGCAAGCTGCACTGTGAATTAGCCTCTTGTATAGGGACTGTAAGGAATGAATGCAGAGCACCTCTGTTCTCTTTCATGTGGGTCTGTGATAAACTTATGGGAATGTTTTTTAGGCAGTAGTAAAATTTCTTCCTATGTTTTAAATTTAAATAATTGTTTTCTTCAGCATGCCCGGCTTGCTCCGATCAAATACCCAAATGTCAAGAAGGAGAAGTTCTTATTGTGGATGGCAACACTACTGACAGGTGTTGCCCTATGTACCAATGTAGTAAGTTTTGACTTGATTTTGATATTCTAAATAATAGAGAGCATGTCAATTTTGTAATGCGGAGGTTCAGTGCCAAAAATTGTGGATTAGAAATACTGCTCCCCTTGTGCATATAAGCATGCTATCATCTGTAGTCCTGAACAAATAATCTTTACTTCTAAAACTTTGTGTGTAAAGCATCATCTGAATATCTGTATTATGGAGAAAAATGAGTAAATTCAGGCCCCAAATTCAGGATATTTAAAAACTATTTAAATATTTGCTTAGAGTATTTGTACTCCGTGTTACCATCACCTGATATCTAACAATTAAATTTCTGTTGTAAGTCTTTTTGAATAAGATGTTTTCTAAAGGTATTTATTATAAGTAATTTATTATATCTTGATTCATATTTCTATTCATCAAAACATGACAACCTAGTATTTACTGAACTTTCTCTTCTTTATTTCTAGTTTGTGAAATACATCGTTGTCCTGAATTCAGATGTATGCTGGGCATGTCTTTGGTGGAGGTGTGGAGCCCAGAGAAGTGCTGCCCCTTTCGGACATGTGGTAAAGTCACTGATTTTCATTATTGTTGCCTTAGACAATAAGATATTGCAAACAGCTTTGGCCTCTTGGTTTTGAGTCTGGTTTCAGCCAGCTATACCACTGTGATCTGCTCATGGACAAATGATGTAGCAAAGTCATTTCACAGTACAGAACTTCCTAATCTACCTGTTTTGATTTTTCTTGCTTCAAAAGGTTGAATAGCATCCTGTAGAATTTGCTGTCCAAACTGGGTGATTTATCATCTTGAAAGTGTAGGATTTTGTATTGGGTTTGCATGGGAAGGTTTTGGTGGGGGTGGAGGCTTCAGAGGCGGGTTCTGTGAGGAGCTGCCAAAAGCTTCCCCCATGTCCAATACAGCCAATGCCAGCTGGCTCCAAGCCGGACCCACTGCTGGCCGAGGCTGAGCCCACCAGCAATGGTGGTAGCCCCTCTGGCATAGTGTGAAAAGTTGCTACATGACAGCAATTGCAGCCAAAGAGAAGAGTGAGAGAAAGAGATATGTGAGAGAAACAGTCCTGCAGGCACCAAGGTCAGTGCAGGAGGAGGGGGGAGGAGGTGCTCCAGGTGCTGGAGCAGAGATTCCCCTGCAGCCTGTGATCCAGACCATGGTGGTGAGGCAGCTGTGCCCCTGCAGCCCATGGAGGCCCATGGGAATGCAGAGATCCACCTGCAGCCTGTGGAGGACCCCATGCTGGAGCTGGTGGATCCCTGACGAGGTTGTGACCCTATGGGAAGCCGGTGCTGGAGCAGGCTCCTGGCAGGACCTGTGGACCCATGGAGAGAGGAGCTCATGCTGGAGCAGGTTTGCTGGCAGGACTTGTGGACCCCATCAGGGATCCACACTGGAGCAGCTTGTTCCTCAAGGACTGCACCCCATGGAAGGGACCCATGCTGGAGCAGTTTGTGAGGAACTGCAGCCCATGGGAAGGACTCGCACTGGAGAAGTTCATGGAGAACTGTCTCCCATGGGAGGGGCCCCATGCTGGAGCAGGGGAAGAAAGTGAGGAGTCCTTCCCCTAAAGAGGAAGTAATGACAGAGACAATATGTAGTGAAATCACTGCAACCCCCATTCCTCATCTCCCTGCACAGCAGGCAGGGAGGAGGTAGAAAAAATCAGAAGTTAAGTTAAGCACAGGAAGAAGGGAGGGATGATGGGAAGGTGGTTTTAAAATCTGAGTTTATTTATCATTATCCTATCCTGATTTAGATGGTAATAAATTCAGTTCATTTCCCCAAAGTGAGACTGGTTTGCCCATGATGGTATTTGGTGAGTGATCTCTCCCTGCCCTTATCTTGACCCACGAGCCTTTTGATATATTTTCTCTTCCCTGTCTATTTGAGAAGGGGACTGATAGGGCAGATTTGCTGGGCACCTGGCATCTAGCCAGGGTCAGCCCACAACAGTTAGTCAATTATTTTTGTCTATCAAAAAAAGAAGTTAGGTTCACAGGTCAGGAATTTGCCAGTTTACAATGACTGTAGCATATATATCATAATCTTTATGATGCCTTAAACACAATTCTCAGTTGCTTTATATTGATTGTAATGATTGTCACCACTTCAAGGAGGCCAGCAGCTAGAATGGCCATCATTTTTTTAATATGTTCAGGTGAACTGCAGTTGATACTCTGCTGTCGACTGTTGTAATGAGTAAAGGGGGTCAGAGAAGCTGCTATTAGTTTTCAGAATGGCATAGACATCAAACACGATTCTGAATTCCCCAGGTGGGTATATTTCAAGAACTTCTTCAGTGATGACTTTTAAATCTGGAATTTCTGTTCTCTCTGATGGTCTGTTTTACACAAAGGGCATATAACTTGCTAAACTACTGTTTCTGTTATTATGTTTTGTTTCAGAATGTGCATGTGAAACAATCCCCAAACCTCAGTGCAAACTGGTATGAAATTTGTCTTCTTTGTCAGTATTCTTTTATTAATTTCTTAATAAATCTGTTTATCAGCATCTTACTAATAGTTTTGTCAGTGAAATATGAAATGCCACATCATTCTTTGTTTTGTTTTTTAATTGCTCCATAATAAGATATATACATTTTTAAGAAGCCAGTTTAGTTTGAATGCCTTGTAGAATAACATGATTGTATAGCACTGGTATTTCTGGAGTTTATTACCATATCCTCCCCCAGAGTATTAGTAGAGTAGAACTGCCTTTGTGCACCCAAGGATAAAATTTTTATTTTAAAGTGTTAGAATTAAATGCGTTAGTGCATCAGTGTTTTGTTAATATCATTTGTTGTGATGAATATGTTAACATTTATCATGAACTTAGACTGCTGACTAAGCAGAACCTTTAAACTGTATTTCATTGTGACTTGTTCTGCATTACAAAAGTGCTTATTAGCATTCCTGGGCTAGATTCCCAGTTAGTACTGGGTGTACTTGGATTTTGCTTGTCACTGTTTTATCCAGAAAATAATATTACTGTGGGTATAATTTATAAAAATTATAATTTTGAGTCCTAGGAAGAAATTGGAAAGAGTACTCATTTTTTTTATAGAGAAAATTCAATATGGTTTGGAAGGTGAGATTGTTGTTAGTACTTTCATTTCTTAGATGAAGAAACTTGGGCATGAGGAATCAGAACTTGCATAAACATAGGAGAAAGATCATACTGTGCCTACACAGAAACAATAAAAGGCAAAATTAAAAAGTACATCTGTGCTATTGTGATACTGTTTACATCCATTAAGTTATGCTCTGAAAGAATACACTCCACACCATGTGGAGACTTTTGTGCAAAGGCAGGCCATTGCATTTCATTGTTGAGCAGTCTTAGTTTTTTTGTGTCCTAAATGTCTGCTGTACTGAGTGTAAAAAAATTCCCATTTGGTTATTATTAGTAAGTTAAATGTCTCTGTGGGTGATGAAAGTGGATTCAAAATAGGTTTCTAGGAGCAAGAGATACTGCTACCCAAGTTCTGAAGAAAAGTTGTTTAAAAGAAAAAGATCATACAGATAAGAAAACACTGTAGTTTCATTTTTTTTTTCTGCTTTTGTACTCTTAGGGGCAGAAACTTCAGATAGATGAACAGTTTCAGAACAGTACAGAAAATATCTGTAACTGTGTGAAGTACAAATGTGGTAAGTCAGAAAATAATTTAATTCAAAGAAATACCCTTTCAAGTGCTAAGGTAAATTAAGAATCAGGTGTTCACTTTGAACGTGGCAACAAGGAGAAATGTGTCAGAATACAGAAATAGTGAAAGAAAAGGCAAGAAAATAGAACCCCTCACTAAATATTTGTTTGATTGTGGCCTGTCCTTGTATTCTGTTAGTTCCTGCAGTGAGAAGTTTGTGCAGGGAAATAACGGACAGTTTTAGGATGGTTGAGTGGTGTTGGCTAAGAAGCAAGGACTCCAGCAAGAAACTAGAACACACACACAATGTCCACATATGGAAAAGTCCCACTAACCCTTATGAGACTACTCAGGAGCTGGTAGACATGCTTACACACTTGACAAGATCAGAAATAGCATTCAGCACCATGTGAGTTCATCTTAAAGCGTGGCAAATAGTGTCTGGGAAAACTTGGAGAAAAAATAATTCCTGTGGGGCACCCAGTTGGCCAAGAGAGTTGGGATTGTCCTTGCTTAGATTTCTACAATAAAGATGTATACTTCTGACCTGATTATGCTCTGTGCCCTCAGTAATCGGTGGGGAGAAATAGACATTATCCTGAAGTAGTCTTAAGAAACAAAACAGTTGAAGAAGCCTGCACTGTCATTGGGGTGGTGCAGGTAATAGAATATTATGTGCTTATTTAGATTTCATGCAGGGTTATACTTGAAATAATTTGGTGATTATAGGGAAGCATTAGCCTACTAACAATTCATGTTTGAGAATGTGATCCATAATTCTTAATTAGGTGGAGTAGCTTTTGCCATTCTGGTTTTACTGTTTGAAACATTTTTAATGGAGTTTTCATACCAAGCTGATTGTCCTGACCATGCTGTTTGTGTTTTCCTGTAGTGAGAGACAAAGTTTGCCTGAGTAATGAGAGAGGTGTGCTGCTTCCTGGACAGAGAATCGTGGAACACAGTGCAGATGGCATTTGCCGTATTTCTTATTGTACAAATGTGATTGATCCCTCCACTAAATACTACCAAATAAACACATCTTCGATAGACTGTGCTGTCAAGTGCAAAGCTGTAAGAAATTCAGAAGTTTAGACATGTATATTTTAACTGGTGGTCTTAATTACATTGTGATGGGTTTTGTTGAGCAGATTACAGTCAGAGGAACAAGTTGGAAAGAGTAACCAGGAGATCTCTCTCTAATGATGTGCTACCACACTTCTAATAGAAGTTTATAAAAAGTCTCACTCCCTTCACTGTTTTCTCCCCTATGTACATCTTTTACAAACTAATGTATATAGAAACTGCCTCCTTGGGTTAATAGCATACTGCCCCCTTGCACCCTGCAGAACTTCAGCTGCGTTATGAGCAAACTGGTACAAATTCCTGGCAGATATTATCTCAATAGGAGTAGAGAAGAGAGTAATCATAAATAGAATAAGAATTCTAAAAGTCGTGAAAACAGCTTTATAAAATAAGCAAATGTTACTTTGTCTTTTTACAAAATATAATACATTACCATAGGAATATTATATAGATGTGTAAAAAGTCAAAATTTCAGTGGTTCTTGAAGTAAGCTGTCACTTTACATTTGAAAAATGGTAGATAGACCAGTTCATTCTCTCAGTTGGAACTTCTCCCCATTTACTTCAGTTAAGAACAAAGGTATTTCATGAAAGCTTCATGAATGTACAGTGTGTGTGAATGTAAGCTGTGCAGTTTTGGAAGTTATTTAAAAAATATCCCTAAAATCAGATACCTAAAAAAAAAATCTGCCTGTTACAATAATAAAAAGTTGAATTGCAAAATAGTCTCATACAAGGAGTAATCTATTTGATTTTGGCAGAACCAAGTCTATCAACCTCCAAAAGATTTAACAACTTGCTGTGGTAGCTGCAAGAACTTGTCTTGTCTCCACACTTTCAGCAATGGCACAGTTTCCAATTTTAAGGTGAGTTTATACGTGTTTTATTCCCTCAAAATCTTTATAATTAAACAAAAAAAATTCTGAAATACTGTATGCATGTTGCCATATAAAATTTGCCAAAAAGAGCTTTATTTGACCAAATACTAGGAGTAGTTTTGCATGTACACAACATTAATTTCTTGGAGAGTCAACCATACAGCTGTCAATAAAAGTATCAGGGATTTTTATATATATATATCAGAGAATTATCATGAACTCAACTATTTTAGAACCTGCTTAACGTTATGTATTTGGTGGACTTTCAAATCTGTTGCTTAAACAGAACTTTAACATGCATCTGAATTGCATTTTGTTGTAAGTATTACTGTTGAGTCATGCAAGATCACATTCAATGAAACTGTTTTTAGGCATACTTGCAATACTGTTTTTGCTGAGTTGCCCAGTAAAATTTCTGTTTTACAATTTTTGACAGCCTGGTGCTGTTTGGATTTCAAACTGCATCAGATATGAATGCACCAACACAGCAATAGGACCAGTTCTGGTTTCCTCTGCAGTTGGCTGCCCACCCTTTAATGAATCTGAATGTGTGAAGGTCAGTGTACAATACATTGTTTGCATTCCAGCTGTGGTTTATGTTGGTGTGAAAAGATTAACACTGACAATAAATGTTTTTTACCTCAAGAAGGGAGAAATTATATATTCTTGCAATGCCTGCACTTTTTGCCAGGCCATTTAAAGGTAAAAAGTTATAACCATACACATATAATGTACCACCAGTCTGCCCAGTTACGCAGCTGGAGTCATGTCTTCTTATTCTCGGAATTCATTTATTTTTATTTTTTTATAATATAAATAAATTGTAATATCAAACTAGTAATATCAAACTAGTCTTCATACAGCTGCATGAACTTGGATGCTTTTCTGAGGTGGATGTGTGTCCTTTCTGACTGATTTTCTGTGTATGAAAACTGATCCAGTATCAAACTGATTTGATTCAGCACAATGGTCAAAAACATAGAAGAAAGGGAAAGATTGTCTGAATATCAGGAACAATTTTTAAGTGCTGACACATAAAGTTTTATGTGGAGCAAGAAGAAAAGTTCTATTTGAATTTGCAAAATGAGATTAGGTTAAGTGCCAGGAAATGTAGGCAGGGAGTGATCTCGCTCTCTGTAATTCCACATTTACATGTGGATGGGAAGACTTTCCTTGATGAACTGATGTCACAGAAGAGGGGAAGAGTCCTGAAGGAACTGGGTGGCTGTAGTTTTTCCTTGCAGATAACAATGGGTTGGTTTTGCAGAGTCTGTTACATAGCTGGTGAAAGGCTTTTTGCTGTTCTAGGCAAACTAAAAAGTTAAGGCGGAGAGAGGGATTAGCATGGCTTGAGATGCTGAGTTGGACATCAAAAATTGAACTCTCCTTCAATGTAATCCTGAGAAAGCTTTTAATATAGCTGTAGGTATTCTTCCCACAGTATTCTGGGGAGTGCTTATTGCTCAGCATTAAGACATGAATCTCCACTATGGGGAGTCATTGGCTTCCCGTTCAGATGAGATTTCTTCCTGCTCTGAAGTCAGATTCAGGTTTTTGTGATTGTCAGTATAGCCTCTACAAGAGGTCAGGGTTTCACTCTAATAACATGGGATGGAGTCAGACTTAACACAGTCATTCTCTTTCCAAATGGGGGAGCTATTTGGGTAGCTGGTGACGTATAGTGGCATTTGGTGAAAGCTACCTGTGTGAAAACAGTAAAGTGAGATCATTTACAGCCATATCTTCATCCATTAACCAGAATGCTGCATTTGCCTGAATAATGATGTAGAGCTTTATCTGGAGGATATTTCTAAGAGTGAAGATATATGGGAATGAATGTTTGAAAAAATCAAGGTTTTTTTTCCCCTTTATTTCTCTTGGTCAGGTTGGAGGCTACGTTGTGCCATTCTTAGAAGGATGCTGCAAAACATGTAAGTAATTAATGATGCTGCCTGCCTCACAAGTCTGTCTGATTTGTTGTTACGTTAGAAATAAGGTGGATTCTTTCCTGTATAAAAGCATGATTCACTGATCTCAAAGGCTGTGCTATTCCCAGTTTTACTCATTTGAATAACACTGAAACTATTTGAGTTAAATCAAAAGAAAATACTTTACCATTGATGCTATTACTCCACTGACAGCGATTCTGGCTGGTCGAGTCATTAAAATTCATACTCTTTATTTTGTAGTTCTCATGTAAAACTCCTCAAAATATTAGTTACTGCATTTAGTATAATAAAAGGTACTGTGTTTTAGAAGGCAACTTAAAACATGCTTCATCTACATAAATATCTTCATATTTGGTAAAAATGAAGATTGATCCAAGTAGTTTGTAAGTTAATTTTGTAAATAATAAACAGATTGTAATATAGAAATTAGTAGACATAATTCAGAAACCTCCAGGCAGTCATCATCATGGCTAGGCTTGGTGAATGAAGATTAAGGATTCAGGCAGTACCTTTTAAAAGATTTTACAATAAAAAAATTCCCCCTTACTCAATTACCCATATATGGTTTGGACATCTGTGAGAGCCAATAAAGATTCTCTGGGGAAAAAAAACCCAAACAGAATAAAAATCCTCTAAGGAATAGGTTCCAAATATACTATTTCTTAATAGAAATAAGGAGTTAGGTACATTTTATTTTCTTAACACAGTGGTACATAGCTGAAACGTTTTGGTTGATTTAATGAAGAACTTAGCCTGAGGAAGACACCTAACCAGATGAATTTAAACTCAAATACTTGAAGTTGAGACTGTTAAAAGCAATTGAAAAGGAGATTTTTATACTGGGCAGTATCATGCTGTCTTTAAAAACATGCAAAATTCTGACTCAGTGTGCTTAAGTGGCTGAAATAGTGACCTAAAAGTGTGGGAGAAAGATGGAGAAAAGTGCAGGTATTTCTTGCTGGGTGGGATGGAACTTGCACAGTCACGACTACCAGATCTGGATATATGTTGCCAACAGGGAGGTACCTTTTGGTGTGATTCATCTGTATTGTATTTGGTACTAAAAACTTGATTGAAACTGTGGAAGATTTATCTGGGGAGTTTTTTATGCTCCCACTATAAGGGAATGGTAGTATCTCTTCATGTTTTTTCACTCTGGTGGACCTGTGTTTCAAGCACTTTTCCTAGTTCCATGACTGATTCTCCATAGGCTCTCTGACATCAGTTTTTGATTATCTGACATTACCCTTCAACGCCCTGGCAGGTAAATAAGCCACTTCTGAAAGATTTAGTAAGACAGTTAAACATCCATTAAGCTACTTTTCAGCAGGGCAGAAGATCTTGCTACTATGCGTAGAGAAACATCATAATCACCCTTTAAATTATTAAATTATTGATCTGTGGCATGCATAACAAAGTAAAATTAAACCCTTGAAAAACCCAGTGACTTTTGAGACGCATTTACAAGTAGAGTCCTAGAGTTTTGATTTCACACCTGTTGGTAGACAACACATTAATTCTGTGAATCATGTAAGTTCATTCTGACTCCAGACAAATCTGCTGTCATGAGAGCTGTCAGTTGTAATTGTGTGAGACATTTTATGAGAAGGATTATTGGGTTTTTTATTTTCTTCTGAAGTACTTTACCATTAGAAACAATTGTGATTTTTGTTTTCAGTTTTAATTGGTATTTGAAAATTAAGACCCAGGAGTTCCATCAAAACCTGGAGGTATTACAAATGCTGCTGAGAGGAAATTATACTATTTCTTTGTTGTAGCCCCGAAGGGCACATTAAATTCAGGATAGCAGACTGGCTAAGTTATACCAATGTAGATCAGATTCTTCCTGGTTTTCACATGAGGCTTAGCAATGCATGTAATGCTTGGACATGGTCCTGAGCTGCTGCCACAATGTACCCTGCTTAAGCAAGGAGGAACCAAATGTCCCTTCCAACCTCAGCCATTCTGTGATCCTGCGATATACAAACATTTTAAAGTTGAATTCTGTTTCCAAATATGCCAAAATGTCATAATTCCCAAATGTTTTCATACTATAGGGAATCCTCTGTAACATGTGCTCTGTTCAATGTGTAATATTCTTACCAGGTTCTTCAGTGTCAGTGTTCCTCCCATTCCCTGTTAGCCCAGTCACTCCTACAGCCTATGCTGGCTGTCACACAGGTACATTTTCCTCAAATAGGTAGGACCAACCCAAACAGCATCATTGTTGATTTCCAACAATGTACTCCCTGCTAGGATCATCAGACCTCACATTACCCGGTAATGCCAAAAGCTGCAGTGTAGTGTAACTGCTCATGGTTCAGTGGCTCACATTTTTGTTTTGATTTGTTTTTTCATTTTGCACTGTGTGGGCGGTGCATTGTTGTTAGCCAACAATGTACTGTTGGTAGTAAGCACTTGCATAGTCTTTAGCTTGCTGCATGTGTAAAATTGCTGTGTTTGAAAAAGTAAACTATCATGTTTACAGTGCTGTAGAACATAGAGAATAATGGCTTTGCTTGTTAAAGCTTTACTGTGTAAGCAGCATTTTTGCAGGTGATGTATCATACAGGTTTGCTTTGTGCCATATACAGTAGAAGCAAATAATTTCTTTCCCATCCATAGTTAGAACAGTATACCGAAAATAGCAATCCAGTGTTGACTCCATGAAAATTGGAGATTATCTTTGTTCTTTTTCATAGAGCATGTTAATTCTTTGAATTGTAACATTATGAATGCATTTGTTTTGGCATTTATTTTGTGAAAACAACTCTATATTTCTCTCAGAGAAATTATGTTGACTCTAATTCTGTGCATTACTGAGTGACACATCCTACATTAAATTATGCTTCTGACTCTAGGACTACTAAACTGAAATCTATGTTTCTCTTTCATACTGGTGTCACTTTAAGTGACAACAGTGCTATGAGTCAACCCAAAAACCAAGCAAGGATTTTCAACCATACGGACAGTGAAAAAAAATCTATAATACAACACGTATAAAACGCTCGCGTTTTGTAAGGTTGTTCATGGGAAAGTATATTGTGTTGTAAAGCTCATAAAAAGCCACTGGACATTAATGTACATGCGTGGAAATACATTATATATTTATTTTTTATGGGATATGATGTACTTTCACTGTAGCCTGGGTGAAGTCATAGTCACAGCTGCACTGAATTCTCCACCCTAAACACCATGTATAATGTAAAAGAAGACAGAACCGTGAAAAGAACTGTGAAAAACATGAAATAATGGTGAGTTTTTTATTTTCAAGAACAACTTATTTTTTCTTTGTTTCTCAATTTACTTTTTACTAAGCAAATATAATTCAACAGCAGCCAAGCAGTAGCCAACCGTTTATGTTTGCAGGTTTTTATTTGTTTCCAAGAAGATTTACTGGTAGTTTCTTTCATATTCTAGAAAACTCTGTTGTGTCTAGGAACAGTAAGAGACTTAGATAATTTAAGAAAAAAAAGACAACAGAACCACCAACCAACCAAAAAAAAAAAGAACAAAAAATTGTTTCTCTTTGAGAAGCAGTATTACTGGTTTGACAGTGATTAGAACAGGGAACTGGATACTGCTCATAAAGATGTGATAAAACTGTGTCCCAGTTCAGTATTGGGTATTGGTCAGACTGATGAATCCTTTAGTGCCCTTGCTTTTCTGGAGCTAACAGTATTCACCTTCTGTCAACATCCTTGGGTTTCTTGACTGAAAGAAAACACATCTCTGTGGAGATGTCATGGGGGGCTGCATCAAGACGCATAGAATCTAGTGTGAAACAGTGGAAGCTGTTGTATTAAAATGAGCTGTTCATTTCTCTTACAGATCTGCAGTACAATGTGGTTTCTCCAGCATAGAGAGGGTCATCCTAAGAAGACACTGTGCTTCCTGATCTCTTACAACTGAACTTTATACTGAACATCTTTGTTTTTCTTCAAATGTTCAGGATTCCCTTCTTCAATGAAGCTTAACTCCGTATTTAATTCCGTGATTTCTTGTTATCTTTTGTGTTTTATTCATGTACTTTGTAAATACTTCTATGAGAAAAATTGTGGAAATAATGGAAATGCAAATAAAAAATTTCATTTGTTCACTGGTGTTCTTTTATTTAATAAAAACATAATAAAACCAAATATAAAGCCCCCTGAATCCCTGTTCTTCATCAGATTCTGCTGTCGCGTATTCATTTTAAACTTTGTTTATACCACTGGAATGCAATTACTGCTATTAAAGTTTGTTGCAGGTATTTAATAGAAAATGCACTTTACGCCTTATTAACAGGTCTTCTCACAGGAGTGGTTGATCAGTTTTGCAAAATTTTTTGAACACAGTGGATTTACTCTTAAAAAACTTCTGAATGAAGAATGAACCTTTTGTAATTGTTATTAAAGATATAATGAGATGGATACTTTAATGCATGAAATAGAATAGTTTTAAAAGTGATTCAGTATATAGCTGATGGGTATCTTCTTTGTACCTCTTGACCCAGTAAAATGTTCAGGAATGTTCTCGTCTCGGAAATGTTTAGAATTTTGAGCTGATATTTTTTGATCTATGACCATTTTGCAGGTAAGGAAGATGGAAAATTCTGTAAGAAGGTGACTGTTAGGATGACTATCCGCAAGAACGACTGCAGGAGTAACACACCAGTAAGTAGATAACTATCACAATTTCTTTTTGTAGAAGGGAAAAAATATGAGAAATAAAATGAAGGAAGAAAAAGAACCCAAATTCCACAAGGCTATTGTCTTCATCTCTGTCACAGAGACGGGGATTTCTGTTTCATAGAGCTGTTTTAATGTTTCCCTACATTCTCAGCAATCATCTTCTCAAATAATAAAAAGGAGGCTGTTACTTCTGCTTTTTTCATGCATCTAGGTGCATGTTAATTTAGTGCAAATCCAAAGTCTCATTTCACCCTATAATGCAATTATTATATGCAAATTAACTTCAATATAACTGAATCTTGCCCCTGATATTCTACATTTAAAACGGCTGCAGATGTGTATAATTTTCCATCTGCCCAGGGAAAGTATTTAAATGCCAACTTCATGAAGAAAGGAATCTTGGGTCCTGAAAGCTTTTTTTAGACAGCAGAATGAACATGCTGTAAAATGTGAAGGAAGAATGAGGCACTATCGAAGGATTTACTGTTGAAGGACACCAGCAATGTCCTGCTGGGCAGTAAGACTGTGAGCAGCAGCAAGGGTGCAGACAGACGTCTCATGTGTAAGAGCGCCTGGAAAAGCTGTAATAAAAGAGTGTAGGGAAACAGCTGTAACCTCTAAAATGACTCTGAGAGTATATTTTGTAGAGTAAGCTGTTGAGCAGCCAGGAAATTTAGTCTCAGTGTCTCATTGAACAGAAACACGAATCTTAACTATTAAATATGAAAAAATTATTCAGTTTCTATGACTATTTCTCTTACAGTCTGTATTACAGATTTGGTGTCATTAGTAGTAATTCCTCTTGGCTTTCCAAAGGATTGGTTCTTTTATTCCTCCTTACTGATAACCAGTACAGCAACACTGCATCAGTGTATCACTGAAATGAATACTGCAGGGAGTTGGAGACAGAACATTTGGTGCTGTGTTCAAGCCAAGGTTGTTATGAATACTTTAAAATTCAAAACCAGAATTGTTTCTTTGTGTCTGTTAATAGCCAAAACCTGTTACTGAAATGGACAGAAAAGTCATCACTGATATCAGTAAGATAAAAATTGAGACCTGTCTGGGCAATGTACTTCAGAGCTTATTTTGAGATGTAGTGGGATTTCATAAGGGGCTAGAGGAAAAACCTCCAAATTTTTCATTGCTTTGCCATTGGATTTGGGATGCCTAATGTTTTTGGACTTCTTTGAGAACTCCTAGCTAGCTGCTTCAGTTTGCTGATTGTTCATAATGTTTGTTACCAGGTGAACATTGTTTCATGCGACGGGAAGTGCCCTTCTGCAAGCATTTACAACTACAACATCAACACGTATGCAAGGTTCTGCAAATGCTGCAGGGAGCTCGGGCTGCAGAGACGGACTGTGCAATTGTACTGCACCAGTAACTCAACCTGGGTCAGCTATTCAATCCAAGAGCCCACAGATTGTTCTTGCCAATGGTCTTAAAAAAAAAAAAAAAACAAACCTCATAAAAGGAAAGAAAACAGCAAGCCCAGCTGTTCCCAGCATAAGATGATTTTAATAGTTTATCTCTTAAAAATAAAATAGCCAATCCACTGAATTTCACCAGTTTAATGCAAAAGAGAGCACAAATACTTTTGGACTCTCCTAAATTCTGGAAAAATGGTTTTGCATCTTTTGTATTGTGATTTGTCTTCATTTTCATTCACAGGGATTGTTTTAAGGGTTCTTGTGATATGTGCCAATTTAAAAGGTGATTTATGTTAGCGACACCTCAAGAGAAAGAGCACCATCTGTTTTGTTCTGGAAGGCTGGCCCACTCTTTGTCAGGCACCCATTCCTGTTTTAAATCATTGACAACTTACCTGACAGTAGGTCACTATTTTGAATGCATTGCAATTGTGCAAATACATTCAGAGTCTATCAAGAAAAATTGTTTGGACAATACGAGAAGAATTTTCAGTTTAAATCATATTCCTGTTGCTAAGTAGACCATGTATAAGAAATTCATGTAAAGATTTTTTTTTTTTTTTAATCTGGGAAGCATTATCAATACTGATAACCATGTAATATTCCCTGGTAATAATTTCAGTTTTTTCTAGTGTATTTTATATTGCAGTGAAAAGCATTGTGGCAAGCATGTATTTTATGGAACAGATCGGCTGATTTTAGGTTATCTAGATTAGTCATTAGTAGTTACTTTATTTTTCTGCTAAACAATATGACATAAACTGAAAATGCACAGATTTAAAAAAATGAAAACCATTTTACATTCCTTTATATAGGTATACCTTAAATAAAAACTTTCAGCTTATGAAATGAACCATACTTAAATTGTTTCTTTAGGAGAATGAATGTTGTTTAACACTAACTTTAAAGATAAGAAAATTCATTAGGAAAAAGAAAATGAGGATTATGTATCTGTCTCAAAGAAAAACAAAATTCAAAATCTTTGTCACCTATATAGTAGAATGTAACTTCTTATGGCAAGTGCTTGAAACTGAAAATGTACAACTGTAAGGTTTGAAATTTCAAAAGCAATTTTGCTTATGAATTTGAAATATTAACATTATTTTTTCTCCTCTAAGCTAATGTTATTGTTCTGTTCTTTTTCAAAAAATGCCACTGAGATTCAGCAAAAATTCAATAGCTTTCATTTTGTAGATTAAAACTGTAGATAGCGTGCAGTGATACACCTGAGATCTTTTAGTAGAAAATAGATCTCAGCATGACGTCTTTAAAAGCTGCTTGTCTGCAGTTAATCCAAAGAAAAATCAATCATGTGAACATTTTTGATATTAATTTTGTATACTGTACATTTCATTCTTACAATATCTAATAAACAACAGGAAGTCTTATTTTGTTACAATTAATTTTTCTATAATTGTTCAAGCAATTTACTGTCATGTGATGCAACATACAATGTTTACTTTTTTTTTTTTTTGCAGTGCACATAAGTAGTTTTAGGGTTTGCTGCTATCACTAATATTAATGATCGAATACTACAGCATGAAGGATGTAGTACTACAGCAGGAGGAAGACCTGCATAGGGGGTTTTGAAAATCTACATATTTTTCTGATTCCATCACCACTTTCATCCTCAGAAGTGCAAAATTCAATTATGTCATTTGATTCAAAACAAAAATTGGAAAACCTTTGTTAATGGAAGTGTAACAATGCATATCTGACATTGTCAGATAGACTCTCCTGGAAAAAAGAGTGTGGGGGGGGAAGAAGATAAATTTCTGCACATTCCCTTTACACATTTTTTTCCTAAACTGACCCTCAGGGTTGACTGCAATCAGTAGACAGTATTTTGAGTAGGCATTTTGTTACAATACAGTTGTTGTGTAGTGATGATCACCCTTCAGTACGTAGGGCCAAATAAGTCTTAAGATCTAACTTGTAGGTGCAGTCCCTACCCACTTCACAGGACCTGTTCCTTGTCAAAATCATCTTCTACATAGCAAGAAAGGACAGGATTTGGGAAGAGTGCGTCCTTTGGAAAACCAGAAAAAAAGTGCTGTTTACGAGACATTGAACAGAGCTAAACCCTTGAACCCAAATGCCTAAAATTCAAGCTTTGGCGTTTGTAAAGGTAAAGTTCAGCCTCCCTTAGTTCGCCAGCTGGCACATGCCTTCCTAGAGGGTAGGAATTAATAAAAAGAACTGTTTCTTTTGCCCTCGACCAAGACAGTATTTGCTGTGAAGTGCCAGCTGCCATAAAGGACAGAATTAGAGCAGGAATTAGGCCAGCCACCATGCTTCCCTCAGCTGCAGCATGGTCCCTCCTCATGTCACTTGAGCAAAGAATTCATTGCTTCCAGCAGCTCAGGGCAGTAACTCTGAAAACCATTCAAGATGGAAACTTTCAGCTCCTGGTTGAAGAGCAAAATTAGTACTGGTAGTGAGAGTAGAAAGCAGGCTGTGCCGTATGCGGTAACTGTAATCAAACACTGCTGCTGCTTCTACTTCAGGAGTAAAATAATAAGCACTATGTCAAGTCCCTACTTCTGATTTTTCTAAACTTTAAGCTTATGCTGAGAGAAACAAGGAGAAAGATTCAAACTGCCTATGGCTTGATAGGGGAAGCTACTTTTATCCCTGCCTCTGTGTTAAATTCCTTTACATGTCCTCAACCTATCTGTGGTTGTTCAAAGCCACCCAGGCCCTTATCATGTATTTACCTTGCCCTGCATTTGCAGAAAGCAGCTCAGCTGGAAAAAGATTGTGCCTTATTTGTAATTCCACATCTTTGGAAACCAAAGGGACCTCAATGTGGATTTCATCTGACCCTTCCATGCTGGAAGTACTGCGACTGTTAACAGTGACTGAGTCCTAAAACAAGTTTATATTCTTTCTTCTGTCTTTTGCTTGGCACTGACCTTCTTGAAACTGAGGCCTCTTACATTTCTTTGCAAGTCTCAGAACTTTACTCCACCCCAAGGGCGATCTTCTCCACACATGTTTGCATACATGGAGTTTCTCCCCAAAAGTGATTCCTAATGTAGATGTAGAAACATCACAGGCTTGTATCTTGTTAAATCTAGGATTTAAAACCTTTCTTATGCTGGGGGTTTTTTCCCATCTTTAAATAAAACATTTAGTATACAAATATGAAAACATTTCTTGTTTGTTATGGTGCCGATTGCTCATTGTCATCTTCTTTAAAAAACACTTTATTTGCATTACCTCAAGCAAGCTTACCCAGCCTTGATTCGCAGGAAAATATAAGCAATTTGGCAGCTGAAGTCTTGAGTATTATGTATATTGGCCCCTAAGAAAGGCCTTTAAAAAGAAATGTAATTATATCAATTGTGCTATCTAAATGCTCACTGTCTGGCTTATTAGTACATGATCTAGATTCAGGATAACAGTCTCTTGAGTAATGTTTTCTCTAATTAGTGATAGTACTGCCTGGTGGTTTGGTAAGTTAATCTGAAATATTGGCATCTGCTGGTCTGCAGTTTAATGAGAACTCTTAGTCACAAGTTAACTTACACCCCCTCAGATAGCCCTCAAGTATGCAGTCCATGAACTCAGATCAAAATCATTCAAAAAATTTTGCTCTCACTCTTATCTCTGCCCACACCATTATCTCTCTCCCCAGTGCAAGCGGCTATGAATAATTAAAATGAGGTAACAACTGCTATGCAGATGGTGATTTTTTTGGAAAAAGCCCCTCTTAGTGTGATGAAGACATGTAACCTCTTTAGAAATAGTACCTGACAAATTGCCATCAGGTCTCCTTTCTCTATGGACTTTTGACCAAGACTTTGACTATGTCAGCTCACATTAGCCGTTTAAAACATTGATAACTGAATTAACTCAGGTGGCCAGACTTCATCCATCACCAAAGAAAGGTATGTGCATCCAAAGAGTGACTCATCCCATTCTAAAATAGATGTCTAAGATCGATGTGGTGAATCATCCTCCAGATGTATCATCTTTCTTTTTCACTGTGGAGAGAACTTGGATGGCAAGATGTGGTTAGGCACCTTACTTTTGGGTTATTAAAATTAGCTGGAATTAAGTTCACCTTTAATGGTTAAAAATATCTCAACAGGCTCAAAGTCAGCTACTCTGATAGCAATTATGGCAATAATCGTGTCTTATCTGACCACTTTATATGAGGTGATTAATGGTAATAGATGATTTGTATGAAGCTGAATGGGATTTAATTTGTCTTGTAAGGTTTTTCCTTGTGTCCTAAAGTATACTTACTTTGTGTGACAGCTATAAAACTATCCCTGTATCTCTAGAGCTGAAGACAGACATCGTCATCAGCCAAATCTTCAAGATGGAAAGTACAGCTGAATTTGCAAAGATGGGATGTGTTTATTTCCATGACAATATGCTATATTAGCTGGTAAGGTGAGTGAATATTTCTGTTTTATAGATGTTTTATTGTGTAGATGTTGGCTTGAGTCTTGCAAGTGATTTGTGATCTTGCTTTCTAAGCTTTTGGCTTCCAAGATCTTTAAGGTAATACAATTCTTCAGAAAATGATGAAACCGATATATGAAATATCTTTGTGTTTTAGCTCTTTAGATTGTCTGGAGTTGAGTTTAGGGCAGCAGAGAGGTTTTTCAATACACAGGCCTTTCCTAACTGTTTTCTATACGATTGGCCAGGGGCAGATTCTGACCTCAGTTACTCTACTTGAAAAGGCATCAGATTTGGTGTTTGTTTTTTCTCGGGAGTGATATTAGTTCACGAATTGAATGTGCGAAATTTGTCCAGCATGTGCCTTGTGTAGTCAGTTATTGGGAAAAAATATAGCAGAGCACTTTAATACATTTCTTTTTGATTAAAAATTCAGAAGTCTAATCTTAAGCATGAAATATATAAGACAGAATAGCTGGAGTTATGCCTAATGCCAAGACCATGCCCATTCTTGATCTCTGTGCTTAATCCCTCAACTGTCTTTTCTGGCCAATATTCCTTATTGAACTTCACATTTATTTTACTAAATAGGGGAAAGGCAGAAAAGGACCGTCTGAGAAAAGGGCATGCAACTAATAGGCTTGATCTC